TCATGGCAATTCTTATTTCACTAAAATTTTTGGAAGAGTAAATAAAGACATCATTCCATCATTAGCTTAAAAAAAAAAATATAAAATGGAATTCTTAAATAGTACAAAATATGAATATAAAAAGTAGATTTAGAAACGTACAAACATCTTCTTCATAAACCAATAACCTAAATTTTTTTGTTTTACAATAAACTTTTACTATTTCTACTTTTTACACCCTTCAATCTTTTTTTTTATTACCTTGCTGAATGGCTTATCTTATGTGAACTTGAACCCGCAAAAAATCTACATAAATCCTTCAGAATGAACCCCATATCACAGTCCTTAGTTTACGAGATAAAAAAAAGACGTTCATCTTAAGGTCTCGTCGACAATAAATCTTCATCTTATAATTGCAAAGTCCAAATTGTTTTTGATTATTCAAATTAGCCGAGAAAGTGCTTTTAATTGCACAGGAGGCGGACTACGAACCAAAAGAGTGCTTTAATTGGGCCCGTAGACATTTGGTCTTAGCTCATGTGATGAAAGCCTAAAAATAAGATGAAAACATGTGTGTATATTATAATTGTGAATTATTTAATATCTTAGATAGTGAGCGTGTGAGGGCGTGAGGGCCGGTAGCGGGGACAGAGGCTTAACTCAACTCAGCTGAGCTTTTAAATTGGATAGCTAATCTGCTGACTACCTCCGAATGGGGGCCTTTCAGGTGAGGGGCCCGCCAGCGGGGACCAGGAGCCAGCAAGCCCCCATTATACACAGTTAAATTTAACTTTTATGCTGTAAACTGCGAAAGCGCTTTTGTTTGTTAATCAAGCCACACAAATTATGGGCAGGAGGGAGACACGGGATCCGAGATCCGAGATCCGAGATCCATTCTATCCACCACAACCCCCTACAGATTTATTCAATTACACACAAAGCATAGATAGCTTACGATAACTACAAGAGCAGACATAGTCGCCAGCTGGAAAAACGACATGGCGACATGGCGACATCCCAGCAGCATCAGCATCAGCAGCAGCAGCAGCAGCAACCCACCAACGGCTCACGGCAATTCCAGAGCCTCCACTCAAAGGTTCAATAGAATAGAGGGCACAGACCCATTATGGGCACTCACAAAAATACAAAAACACCAACCAACACACATAGCACACACACACACTTGGCACACCATATGTATAACCACAGCATCCGCCGTAGAGCTCACGGGTTTACATAATGAGAGGCCTTCCATTGTTGAAAAGTGAAAATGCATATTTGAACTTTCGTTTGTGTTCGAAGTTCGGAGCAAAAGAAACCGATTCGACCGAAATGAAACGAGCTCTTCCACATTTTGCCAAAAACAAACAGGTTGACATCGTATTCACATCAGAATCGCACATCTATATCTTTTGCTTTTAAGCTATATGCATGTACATATATCCCTATACTGTATTTGTAATGTCTGCATGCGGAAGTGTGTTATGCACTGTTTTGTGTGTCGCATATATATGTGTTTATGTGTCGAGGCCCTGAGTGCTAAAGACTCGTAATCCGAAAGCAACAAGCTCCAAATGAGGAAACGGCAGGGCCCAAAAGAGAGGAGACAGTGTAGAAAAGCGCAAAGAAGAAACGAGCTTAAAGACAGGTCTTCCAGCCATGGGAAAAAGTAAGGCAGTTGATGTGGTCGAAACAAGAAATACTCTAGAAGGGTAAATTATAGGTTAATAACTGCAATTTTTAAAACGATTTAAGGTGGCTTTTGATGTACAAAGTTGCAAAGTTACTAACTTACTAAGTAAATTAGTTGATAATATTTAAACGTATACAAAGGGCTTGCTAATTCTTTGTTTACAAATAGTTAGGCGTTTTAAAAATCAAGCAAAGTTATAGTTGATACTTGAATTTTTTATTTACAATACCAATTATAAATTTTAAAGATTCTTGACAATATCTTCAGTGACTTTGAAAGGTTCTATATTAAATATAAAGTATTCTTTATTTAATTAATTATACTCTAGGCAAAATGAGTCTGAAACAGGTTATAAAAAATAAATTTCCTCAGTTGACAACTAATTGCCTAAGCCACCCATCGCTTTTGCCGGCTCTAGGGTATATGTAAAATTGGTAAAGCGGTCGCTACCAAATGTCCGGCAGGGCAAGGCAGGGCAAGGCGACTTGGCCAGTTGTCCAATGATGATGACGATGACCAAGACGATAATGATAAAGATAATGATAATGAAGTCGATGATGACGAGTTTGAGGTTGCCGCTGCTGCTGCTGATGATGATGGTGATGATGATGAGTTTGATGATGATAATGCGGCACGATTATAGGAAATGGGTCAGACAATACACGGGCCAGCAGAGACTCTTGCTGGTGTGTAACTACCTTGTCAAGGCAGGTTGAATGTTGAATGCTGAATGTTTACCGTTTAACAGCATTTCGGTCTTCATGTTTGGTTAACACGCTCCTCCGAAAAGGCCGAGAAAGAGGCGTGGCTTCTTCAATGATGGTTCGATGTCGGTTCATTTGCCTCTTGAAGCTGGCCCGCGCAAATTTTAAGTTGCAGTTGGAAACCAGGAAGAAACAGAGACAGAGAGAGAAAAACAGAGAGAGATAGCTAGAATGAGAGACAGGGATAGATGGAGAAAAAGTTGATTTTCAAGAAATTTCACTTTAGAATGAAGATGGAACAAACACAACCAGTAAACGAAGTTGGCCAGGTCTTCATTGATAAATTTACAGTTACGTGATGAGGCCGCTCTGATTGCCGCCGCGTCTCGAGAGTTGTTTAAACTTTAATTATATAGAGTCGTTCACAACTAGTTCAGCGGATATAGCCCAGAGATTTGATAACATCTCCACACATATATACACACACACTCTTGGCCGAAATGTGCCAAATTTCTTAACAAGCCAAGCATCGAAATCTTATTTAGCCAAGTCACTAAAAAAACCATCGAACCCCAAATGCAAATGACCAAAACCAGCAAAACAGAGGTTGATTTTTGTACAAACTAAAAAATTGAAAACGAAAGTTTAACCAAAAACAAAATATAAAAAATAAACAACAACAAATTTTAAATACATGCAAACGGGTGGTGGAAAAAAAATATTGCGGAATTTAGATATTTAAAAAAAGCCGAAAAAACCAAAGACCTACAAACAGATTCGAAAAATAAAAAGTGAAAGTCATGGGCAGCAGTTTGAACTTCCAAAAATTCGACACCACCACCACACCATCATCATTATTATTACGATTATGATTACGATTATGATCATCTAGTCTTGACGTCACACCCATAAGTATATCTCATCTACCAATCAATCTAGCCAAGATATTACTCACACACACTCTCCCATATTTCCTGGTTATGATCAATATTTGGTCAACAATCAATTTGAAATTCAATTAGCATTCGCATTCGGTGAATTACAGATGAGTTATGGATAGCCGCTAACTGATGCAAGGGTTCGAAGTTTAAGCTTAGACCCCCAGGCCCTTTCCTCCCAAATGCGCAGTCAGCGCAGTCAAGTCTTTATTTTGCGGAGGAACAAATACGATTTATTGTTTATCTGACATTTTTCCTTTTAGCCAGACCTGTTGTTTCACTTGTTACCAAAGCTTGTTGACAAATTCATTAGGGGTTCTTTACAACCCTACACAGAGAGTCAGGAAACTATGTGTACGTCGTATTCGACACGTTTGTTTGATTTGGCTAAAAGCGCTCTCTAACCTCTGCCCACAAAAGGTTAACAGAGATTCTAATTCCCATTGAGAAATATATTTATTTCCTAGATGGCAATCAATTAGCCTCTGTCGCGTATTAAACTCCTTATTATGATTGTTTTTATTTTTGAAAGGCAGGTTGTGAGCTTGCGCATTTACGAAGGGCACTAAAACTTTGGACCTGCGGAGATTTATGACGTGTGAGACCCTCTTTAAGTGGCACTTGATCATGCGGGTCGCCCTATACTGCTGGAAATCTCTCGGCTCAGCTCAGCTTAGCTCGGCTCATGTAAAATCGTTTAATATAGAATGAAGTGTTCCCAGGCGGATAGTGAGCATTCGCCAACTGTCACTGCTATCGACAGTATCGTCGCGTCTCCCCGGCTTGTGTATCTATTGTGTTCTCGGGTCTTCAGTTCTCGCTTCCCGCTTCCCGGTTCTCGTTTCTTGTTTCTCCATCGCAGTTTGCAGTTCTCGCCTCTGAGTTCTCAGCACTTGCCTTGTAAGCCGATTAAGGCATTAGGCTGCCTTTGCATATATTTTGTTCTATTGTGCGTTAAATTCGATTGTGGCCGGTCGAAAACTATTTGGAAAGACTCATGTGCAGTGTCGGTGTTCTTTGCATACATTTCATATCCTTCGACGTCATTTGCATATCCTTTTCCGTGATGGCCGATTGCCAAAGCTGTTAGACGTCATAGCTCGGATTTGGGTTGCCACTCAGCTGTGGCTCAGAAAAGGGTTTGCTAATTTTAGAAGGCGGTCCCAAGGATAAATGACGTTTTGATAGATAGGTGGATGGATGGGATTGGGTTTGGGTCGAAGGATATATGCGATATTGAATGGATAAACAGACTTTGATTTGGGTTGTTTGTGGGATAATTAAGCTTGACACAATTGCGTTGTCCTCGGCTAATTGAGGTTTGTTTTTTGACTAGAAATTGGTAATAGGAAGTGATGGGGGTTTTGGTAAAGGATATAAAATAGTAAAAGTGGAAAATATAATAAATAAGATAGAGAAACGTAGGAAATATTGTAAGTTAAGGGAAGGTTTATGAAAATTGTAAGAGTTGTAAGAGTTTCTAATGTGTTCTTTGTTTCCTGAAAAATAAGCTCACAATTAACTTATAGAAAGTGGATTTAAGTGCTTATATATACAGAATTTAAACAAACTCAAAACTGTTTACTAAAAATGTATGAAATGCCTTCTAACTGTCGCTTTTCAAATACACAACTTTCAAGAACTTTCAACGATGCTAATTATTGTTTTGTATTTTTTGCATTACAGTTCAGCAGAGCAATAACACTTGGAAGTTGTCGTAAATCGGTCACGTTCAACACCCCCCACCCACACCCACAGGATACACCTGAGGACGACTTACACTCTCCTGCTGAATTCTTTTTGTACAAAAAAAAAAAACAAAATAACAAACAACATAATAGAACCTGAAAAGCCAAGGCAACCTCCTGGACAAGCGCGACTCATGGAAACATGGATAAACGCTCAGCGGCGACAAAACGATTTTCAGCTAGCTATTCCACATAAGTTTATATGAACAATTCATACGCTTCCAACTAGGGCAAAACTAGAGCAAGCAGCACTTCCAAACTAAAACCAAAAGTAAATATTCAATATTAAGGACGAAAAGAGAAGGATAGCTCGAGCGCACACTGCAAATGACAGAAAGAACTGCTTCCTAGACTACAAACTTAAGAAGGATAAATACAACACATTAATACAATCACCAACTTAACCAGCGAGGACAGGCAGAAGCAACAAACAAATCGAACATGTCAAACGCGGTCGCCAACAAAGCGGAAACGGAAGTAGCCACAAACAGCAGCCTCAAACAGTCGACCCCTCAGCCCGCAAACAGTCACGATGCCGCCAAGCTACTCAACGGCAGCTTGGCCCGAACCAACGGCTTAACCCATGCGGCCGCCAGCGTCAGTGCATCATCCTCAGCAACGTCAGCCGGCTACAATGTTTCGAGTGCGGCAGGATCGGGCTCCGTTTCCGGATCCGGCGGCGCCAACTCATCCTTAGCCTCATCCTCGGCCTCGGCCGTCTCGAGCCTCCTGTCCGCGGTGACACCCTCGACGGCCCTGCCCCTGCCGCCCAGCAGCAATGGCCTCCAGTTGCCCTACGAACGCTTTCGGGCGGAAGACACCAGCTATGTGCCCATCGCCCAGTTTTATGCGGGACGCAGCGTTTTCATCACAGGCGGCACAGGATTTATGGGAAAGGTGAGTTTTTGAGTCGAAAAGTTCTTTAAGAAAGTCCATTTCGTTGTGGAAAGGAAAGAAATTCTGAAGAATCTCTCTGGGAAATCTCTTTATTGACATTAATAGTATTTTTTATTAGTTCTTAAAGAAAGCCGACTTTGTATAGAATCTGAATTACCATTTACACATTTTTTGCTAATATTATTGACAACAAAACACCCCAAAAAGATAGCCTTAACCCTTTATTCGCTCGTTTTATCCTCTTTTTCAATCGAAAATGCTCGCTCCAACTTTTATTGCATACTTTTGCGGGCTGCCGGCCAAACTTCTTTGCATTCACATCACGCATACGCCGCGTGTGTTTATTGGCTTCGAATTGAACTATTGAACCCGCTACCGGTATGGTTGGGCTCGATTGAGAGAACTCGAAGCGTTTCAAGTCATAAAATATGCACACAAATATTTGTGTGTGTTGGCTATAAACAAAACAACAAGTCTTGCGGCAATGGAGTGATTACTTTGCTTGGAGTGGAGAGTAGGTTTTCCCCCAAATGCTTTCCACTGAATTTTCAATGCACTGTGTGCGAGCGAGCTGCTTATGAGCGATGTGCGTGTATGCTTGACTTGGTTTGGTTTGCTTTTTGTTTTTTTTTCTAAGCCGTAATGCTTGAGTTGAGTCGCGTTGAGCTGGGCTGCACCAGACGATGTTGACTCATCGTCGCCTGCCATGCGAATACTTCATAATAATGCTACATATATGTACGTATGTGAATATATATACATATTTGTATGTTTTATTTGGAACGAGTATTTGTGGCTGCGTTTATGCATTTGGCTTTTGGTTTGCTCGTTCTACCACTCCGAGTTCCACTTAATTGTTCCCCAAGTAATGGGGGCAAGCACTCGGTTCCCCTGCTCCAAATACATCCTCCGGCTGTTGTGCCAATTTTCGTCCAGGCCATTGTTAAATGTATATAGAGAACACAAGAAGAAATACACTTTTATATAAAAATTAATTTCATAAAAGCAATTTCTTAATAATATTTGGATCAGAAGTTTAAGCACTTGTACAGCTTAATGTATAAGATAGTAACATTCCTGTAGATATACATATATTTATATTTATAAATTCAACTGTTAGTTTCCCCAAATTATTCTCTGTGCATATTGCATGTCGGTGGCTCCTGACTGCGTCATTATGACATGAAATCGCAGTGGCGCCGCCCAGACTCTGAGCTCACAGTAGTACACTGTGTGTTATTCATCGATTTTGTGCGCCTGGCACACGCCCACAGCCCGCAGTCGTACGCCCAACGCCCACCGCCCACCGCCCATCCTACTTGCCACCCTTTCCAAAATGCCAACCAGTTAACAACCACAGACCGCCCACAGACCACCAACAGACCGCCCACCGCCCACAGACCACCATCTAACCCCTTTTTGTGTCTGCTGTGGGCTGTTGTCGTTTAATTCCGCTACAATTCTCACATCGTTTTCGGGGCGTGTCCCAAACCCCTCGCCTAAATATATATGCTATTGAACTGAAGTCAGATCAAGACTAACCGCAGACACCATCAAAGTGGGTCAAGTGTGTCCTTGTGTACCCTGTGGGTGTAAGAATAATCGTTTATTTGGTTAATGGCCATATCCCATGATTGAGTCACTAATTACAATTCGATTTTGCAGGTGCTGGTGGAGAAGTTGTTGCGTTCATGTCCGGATATAAGGAATATATATCTACTGATACGACCGAAACGCGGTCAAGAAGTGTCGGCACGTCTCACGGAACTACTAAATGCACCAGTGAGTACATAACTAAAGTTAATTTATATATTAAAATATATTTAAAATGTTATTATTATTCCTTAGCTCTTCGAATCACTGCGCCAGGAGAAGCCCAAGGAGCTGAGCAAAGTCATACCCATTTCGGGCGACATAACTTCCGAGGAGCTGGGCATTTCAGAGAAAGATCAGGTATGGTTTATATATTAACCATATCTTTAGATATTAACTAAGAATGTTTACTATTTTACAGAACCTACTGTGTCGCAATGTTTCCGTTGTCTTTCATTCGGCTGCCACTGTGAAATTCGATGAGAAGCTCAAACTGTCTGTCACAATCAATATGCTGGGCACGAAACGTCTCGTTGAGCTCTGCCATCGCATGCTGTCACTGGACGTTAGTTTTAGGATATACTATATATAACTGATAAAGGAAGTAATCAAAATACATTTTTTATAGGCACTAATCCATGTATCCACTGCCTATTGCAATTGCGATAGAACCGATGTGTCCGAGGTTATTTATGCACCGCCCTATAATCCCGATGATATCATTTCACTAATCAACTGGCTTCCGGAGGATATACTCGATCAGGTAAGCTCTTAAATATAATTTTCAAGTTGGTTCTATAATTAATTAATTTATATTTACAGCTGACACCGAGCCTGATTGGCAAGCGTCCCAATACGTACACATTTACAAAAGCCTTAGCGGAGCATATGTTACTTAAGGAGGCTGGTAATCTGCCCGTTGCCATTGTGAGGCCATCGATTGGTAAGTCATATCTATTAATCATCATGAAATAAACTCATTAAGTATTTGTAAATATTCCCATACACTTGAGCCTCTAATTTGTTTACATTGTGTCTCGTTTGAATTGCGACATTTGCTTAATTCTATGGCTAATCAATTACACCTTGAATTGAGTAGATAAACCAAATAATGATAATTAACTATATATCAAGGGGTTTCTCTAGAAGCTTGATTACTGCAAATACAACTAAAGACCGCTTTGGAATAAATTTGAAATAGTATAATATATTTATAGAAATTTATATTAATACTATTATTCTCTCCGCAGTGACTGCCAGTCTGAATGAGCCGTTCGCCGGTTGGGTGGACAACTTCAACGGGCCAACGGGCCTGGTCTCGGCGCTGGCCAAGGGCATGTTCCGCACAATGATGTGCGAGAAGAATTATGTGGCCGATATGGTACCTGTCGATATTGTGATTAACCTGATGATTGCCGCCGCCTGGCGCACAGCGACCCGCAAGTCCAACAACCTACTCATCTACAATTGTTGCACCGGCCAGCGCAATCCCATTGTCTGGTCGGAGTTTGTCAAACACGCCATGTCCAGTGTGCGCAAGCATCCCCTGGGTGAGTAATTATCCCAAAAATTGCCTCACCCTGTCAGAGAGCATTATAATTACCCGGAATTATATTGTATATTATTATTTTCCTCAGAGGGCTGCCTGTGGTATCCGACTGGCGACCTGCGCATGAACCGCCCCATGAACACGCTGAATTGTATAGTCAAACACTTCCTACCGGCCTACATTCTGGACGGAGTGGCAAGGATCATGGGCAAGAAGCCATTGTAAGTTTTCAATTTATAATCTTTCGCTTTCCCCCCAGAGCTTTTCATTGGAATTTTCCCTGTTTTTCCGTCTCTGTTTTAGCGTTGTCAACGTACAAAATAAAATTGCCAAAGCTGTGGAATGCTTAGAGTACTTTGCCACACGCCAATGGCGCTTCAAGGACGACAATGTCCACGCCCTGCTGCACACGCTGAGTCCCAAGGATCGTGAGATCTTCGTTTTCGATGTGCGTCACATTAACTGGGATAACTATGTGGAACGCTATGTCCTGGGCTTCAGGGAGTTCCTGTTCAAGCAGCGACCCGACTCGCTGCCGGCCAGCAGAAAACGCATGCTCAGGTGAGGGATTTGTTTAGACGTTGGGAAATGTATAGTAAATGTAGGGAAAATAGAGAATTTATTAAGAAAAAATATACATAACATGCTAGGAATATTATATATTAATATTTCAATTTTTCTTAAAAGCAAGATACTTATATTTCTCTTCAAATGATTAAAGTAAATTATAGAATAAGATGTATACCGCGAAAGCAGTTTTGCTTGGAAGTTCATTTAGTTTTCTATCCCTTACATTAATTTATAGGTTATATATGACCATATCTAAGACTATAATGCTTTTGCAGTTTTGAGTTAAAATAGAACCAGAAAGAATGTATACAAGCAGGCAGAATGCTTAAGAGAATTATCTGTATAGTAGTTTTACTTTAGATTCGTCCTGGAGACAGTCCTAAATTTAAGTATAAAGGATCCAGTGATGTTAAGCCTCTTATTCCTCATATTGACTTTGACAAAATCCCAAATGATTTTAATATTTGAAACTTCCTCTCCTCTACAGGCTCTACTATCTGCATCAGCTGACCAAACTGGTGGCGGTGCTGCTCACCTGGCGTTTCCTAATGTCGCGCTCCAAGCGCCTGAATGACTTGTGGAGCGCCTTTCTGGAGAATGCACTGAAGATGGCGCGCTTGATACCCTTTTTGTAATTAGCCGGACGAGGAGGTGGCGACCGATGTGGAAGCTGAGACACATACATATATATAATATATATATATGTGTTTATTCGCTGCGATCTGACAGGATCTGCGATGTTCATCATCATCTTCTTTGCGATTTCTAAATGCCCGTAACGTGGTGAAACATTTTTGAGGTTTTTAGCAAATATTTTTTATGTTACAAATTGAGTAAACAAACAAAGCAGAATCCACAAAACAAAAATATGCAAAAGAAAACGAAACATCAACAAAACCCATAGCAACCACTGCGAGAAAAAGGAACATCAGATTAAAATATAGCGAGTAGTAAACTCAAAATGGGGTAAACTATTAAATGGCATTGGCTCACACACACTCACACACATCACCCATTTAACTTATTCAGGTGCAATGATATAGGTCGGGATTTAAAGGCCTCTGGTGTCGGTTGTTGTCTCCACATGTCTCTCTCTATCTCTCTCTCCTTCTGCGAGATTGTAAAATTTTGTGAAATAAATAAGTAGCGCAGTGAGAGAAGCGCAGAAGAAACCCAAAGTAGAAGAAATGAATTCCGGAATTCCACCTTTTTGCATAGAGAGTTTTTTAGGGGTGTGAAGCGTGAACTTATGGTCGGGGATTCAGCGGTAATGAATGAAGCAATTTGCATGATTTTTAGTACATCCAAAACTATGATACAAACCACACACAAATATGAAAGAAAGAAACAAACAAACAATGGCGATTATTTCAAGAAAATGATTAGTAAAGAGAGTAAATGAAATTAAATGAAATGGCTTGTTATTGCTTTAAAAAATTACATAAACCTAACGTAAACTATGCTAATTAATTAATATTAATTATAAATATTATTACGTAACGAGCGAACATTGCATATAAATAATACGACAAGAACAAACAAAAACAAAAACCAACATTATTTATAATTGAATGTAGTTTTAACATTTTTACATTTACAATTAAGTTTTCAATTTATATAAAAAAAAACCAAGCAGAAGGAGCGGAATTATATACGACAGGAGACAAAAATTCAAATATACAAAATTCAATTTATGTATATGTATATGACAAAAAGCAAAAACTACACAAAAAAATCCATAATAATGATAATAAATTAATGAAAACAAAAATTATATTTATATATAAACATCAGAAACATAATTTCTTAGCATTTGCAGCCTAACAAAAAAAAACCTAAATCTAAGCGTAGCCAGAAAAGAGTTTCCACAATAAAAAATAATAAACTATGAATGAAGTTTTTTGAGACAAACGCAATTAGAGAAACATGATTATGAAAATTTATATTTAAATGCGATAAATTATAAATACAAAAAACAAAAGACAAAACACACACACACAGAAGAAACCAAGACACATATAGTAAGAACATTCCATCCAGTCAGTAGGAAATCGGGTCATCAACCAACTCTTCCTCCACTTTGGACTTTTGCTTCCCGTCTCGTTTGATCGATATATATGGGCCAGGTAATATTGGCCGGGTCGGGTTACGGCCAGGATAGTTCGTTCTCGGGTTCGTTTTCGTGCAATTATTGAATATCCTATGTTATGCCTAGAATTTATTATGTTTTATTTCTAAATCGATTTGTAAATTTGCAGTGCATCAATAAAATACACTTCCAAAATAATAATACAAAATATACAAAAGCGTTCTTCTTATTATTTCCTTAAAAATAAACAAAGTTCAATTAGCCTCTAGAAAAAAACAACAAATTAAAAACTATCTAATGATAATAATATATTTCGAAGCAAAGAGAGAAGCTAAAACTATACAAAAACAATTGTAAGCTATATAAAAGTTTTAGTTCTTATTGGTCCTGACAAGAAATTTGAAATTTAGTAATGAAATGAATGAAAATGAATTGAAGAAGAAAAACAGGAAAATAATTCAATCTACAAAAAAATCTCAATAAAAGAAATTATAATGAAAATGGTATGGAAATGTGGTTTTTATTTCAGGTAAAGGTTAATACATATGTATATGGCCATTTCCGGCCACTAGTATATATATTCTTGATCAACATTTAATCCAGAGTCGAGCTTGGCATGGCCGTCTGTCCATCAGTCTCTCAGTTTTGAAGCTCTCTAACTCTCTCTGCTCATCTCTGGAGCTATCTCTTTCTCTTTCTCCTGCTCTCGCTCTCACTTTCTCTGCTCTCTCTACTTGGGGACTATAAATACAGGCCCACTCGTCTCGCTGGCCTCAGTCTGTGCGCGGCCTCCTAGCTGTTAACATCTTTACTGATAGTGGTAGTGATAGTGATTGCTCGTCCACCCAAAAATAACACCTGACCAATATATCACATTAAAAGCTTAATTGGACTTACAAAAAATATAACTACATTGGATGGAATTAGGCAATGACGTGTCCCTCTACAGCGGTAAGTCTTTATCATGACAATTATATCATTATCATCATACATACTTACTGGGTATAGATACTTACTGATCATAGTTACTTACTAGTCATAGATACTTACTGTTTAGAGTTACCTACTGCACATAGGTACTTACTTCTCAAAGTTAATTAGTGGTCATAGTTAATAACTGATCATAGTTCTATAAATCTTACGATTGTTCCTATGTCAGTTTTATATATGTATGTATATATAAAGTCCACCGATTTGCCATGCGCCATGAATAACTCTATAGTTTCATTCAAGTAGCTTGCTCTTAAATTTGTTCCAAAACACATCTTGCACATCTGTGCATATGATTCCCAACTGGTTCTAACATCCCCGGAACGAAGTGACTTCTGCCGGCCAAGTCTCAGAAATGTGTTGTGTTACAAAAGTTGCAAGTCATTGTTTATTAGTGTTCAAAGTTAGTAACTGATCATACATACTTACTGGTCATAGATAATTACTGATCATAGTTACTTACTGATTATAGTTACTTAATGGTCATAGTTAATTACTGGTCATAGATACTTACTGTTCAGAGTTACTTACTGCTCATAATTACTTACTTCTCAAAGTTAATTAGTGGTCATAGTTAATAACTGATCATAGTTCCATAAATCTTCTGATTGTTCCTATGTCAGCTTTATATATGTATGTATATATAAAGTCCACCAATTTGCCATGCTCTTACTTATATACTAGTAAAATTATATAGACGAATAACTCCATAGTTTCGTTTAAATAAACTTAAATTTATTTCAAAACAAATCTCGCACATCTGTGCATATGATTCCCAACTGGTTCTAACATCCCCGGAACGAAGTGGCTTCTGCTGGCCAAGCCTCAGAAATGTGTTGTGTTACAAAAGTTGCAAGTCATTGTTTATTATGTTCATTATTTAGTTCATTTAAAGTTAGTTATTTAATTTTACTTTGAGATTTACTGGCTATAGTTACTCACTGATAGATACTTATTGATTAAATTTAATTACTGACCATAGTTACTTACTGGTCAGAGATACTTGCTGTTCATAGTTATTTATTAATCATAGATACTCAATGATCAAAGTTATGGTTTATTTATAATCGATTTTAGATTCAATTTTTTAACCGTGATCCTATGTTTAACTTCAAGGGTAAACACACTCGATTATCCCCCACAATAACAACACTTTACATTTTTGTTTTTGTACACATGAATTTTCATTTTTTATTATTTCTCTCAGTTTCTCAGTTTTTGTCGATTCGCATTTCCAGCGCTTACACGCTACCAACTTTAAAATTGTTCTCCACTTTACATTTTCCCAAATATATATGTTATTTAGATATATTTATACTTTATTTTTCTTTTTCGATTTTGGTTTGTAAGATGTGCTTATGTTTAGATAATTCAAAACTCGTCCTCGACTCACTGAAGGGGAGCGGGGGGAAGGAAAAGCGTGAAAATCTTTGGGGAAAAGCCCTCTCTGAGAGCTGAGAGCAAAAGTGAAGTGTGTAAGTGGAGTAAGTGTCAGTTATATACGTTTCTTAGCTGGTATTTCTTTATAGCTTAGGTCGAGTTGGAAATTATACAATGTGAGTGTATCATTCGTGTCGCCGCCATTATTTTCTTTTTCAGCAAGTTATGAAAGATATTTGGGTTACCTTCGAGTGTGGTTTCTCTTCTCTCTATATATGGACTTTGTTCTGCGCTTTTCGGTTGGTAGTTTGCCTAGTTGCTTATTCTGTATTATATATAACTTGCCACCACCGATCATCCATCACTCAATTAATCCAGCTTACAAAATGTTGTTCTAGTCTTTGCGTTTCTGTTTCTTGTTTATTATTTAGTTTTTTGTTTTTCTTTTTTTTGTTTCCATTACCATTTTTAATGTAACAAAATAATTTACGATTTTAAATGAAAACCATTAATGTTTGTTTTTTACTTTTTTAATATATATTTTATAGCTAGAGCTAAGTTTAAGCCTGTTGCATGCACTAAACTTGCATTTCTTTCGACGATTTGGTTTTTGGTTTTTCTCATTTTTTTGGGGGGAATTTTTTTTTGTAGTATATAAAAATACCATTTATTGTGTGATCTTTATACCTAATTAATTTCTTAAATTTGTCTCTTTATATATATATATATATATATATATTTGTATGTATATATAATTTATGTTTCATTTTCTAAATTTCGTTGCGAATTTTTATTGTTGAGAAATGAAGTGTGTTGTTCACCAAGCTACTGATATTGGCCAGCGAAGTTCTCCAATCGAAATCGGTTTAAGCCGTCGTCAACAATGATCTAAATGCCATGACCTGGTTCTGAGCTTTAAAATAAAACATTCAGTTTCCCTATTAGCAAATCAACTTTTAAAAGAATTGAACTATTATTCTTCGATTTATATTCACTTTGAATGAATTGTAAACATCTCAAACGTGTAGCAATAAAGTGTTTAAAGACTGAACCCCATGGATTCGTAAACTTAACAATCCCGAAAAGATCTGAGTCGGAAGTTGGATTTCCTTCTCAAACCAAAAAACCCAAAAGATCTTGTAACTGAACCAGTGCCAACAATTAATCATCAACGATTTGCGGATATATGCATATGTATGTAACTCTTCTCTTTCAGGTTCTGGGCTTTAGGTACACAAGGTAATGTCTTCTCAGGGTACAAAATGTGTGTTGTGTTGTGTTGAGTGTGTGGGATCGTATGTGTGTTTGTCTGTCTGCTTTAATTTATACATATGCATGTATTTTGGACAATCGATCTTCCACTATCCGCTATGCTGAAAGGGATCTCCTAGAGATGTGTCTGTGTGTGTGAATGCATTTACTTGAGATGCCTCGGCACAACCATAATAGATACACATACAACAAAAAAATACGATCAAGTTATCGACCCGATTAATTACTAAGTGTAAGCCGCGGATGCTGGGATATACATATATTCAAATATATATGTTTATACACGTCTTGAGCATTCGATTCTGAGCATAGATTTATTATTATTTTCTCTCAATTGATTTTTATTCATTTTCCATTTAGTTTTGTACATTTTTTGTTTGGTTTCCGGTTTTCCTGGGTGCCACTCTTCTTGTAAAATACAAGTAAGAGTGGATATTCAGATGTTCTCTCGTTTTCAGATGATTTAAATCTAAGGATTTAAGATCAATATGCAAAATGGTGCCTAATAAGACATCAAATTTTTCGACACCTTCAGGAAGAGATTTTAAAGCATTCGAAATTTCTAAGAATTCATAGGTTTTGAAAATATTCTTTAATTGAAATTAAACCCTATCAACAAAGAAAACTAATTTCGAAAGCCGAAGCGTGATACCTAAGTTTTTAAATAATCGCATTCTTTGAAATGTTATTTACGTAATATCTTTCTGAACAATATTACCTTGTAAGTGTATAAAAACGAGAGTCCATCTGAATACATATATATGTATATCTATTAATGTACATGTAATTTACACGCTTTTTGGTATTCCGCAGATTCAGCATTTTAAAATTAACGTTTAGCTTTAGTCGTACATACATATTGGATATATAAGTTGATTATAATAATGTTTATATACGAGAATATGTTTGCGTGTATATAGATGTATGCGCATATAACAGTAGAATTGTACATAAAGCAAAACATAGACGTAACTTTATCGTTATCCCTCCTATATATGTTTCAGTATCATTATCTAATTATGTATATATTTATTTTTCTTTTTCTTCATATTTTTTTTAATCGATTTGCTGTTTTAAACACACACTCAATTTTTGTTGTTTGCTTAAGCCTAATTATACTCGTACATATACATAAATTACCTCAGTGTAATCAAATTTTACTGCTTGTATAATTAATTTATTCACGTTTTTCTTTTTGCTCGGTTAAATATAATGCTGTCGCCTCACTTGTATATCGTTAATATATCTTTATAAAAATTATATAATTTAAAGCTTGTTTGTTACGTTCCAACTAAATGTACAAAATTTCGAATTCGAATTCTCCGATCAACACCTGAAACAAGAGCGTTAATGATGATGAACAAATACAGGGCCTGTGCTGAAAGTATATATCTATATAAGTATATATTTTTTACAACATTTTGTGATCAACTCAAATCGAGTTGAACGTTGCGCTTCAACGTTTTTGTTCCATTAATGCTAAATTTCTGTTTTTCAAACATACAACTGAATTTTCATAAAAATCACCCTGTAAATTGTAGTTTCTCATCTACCGTCTGACTCCGCTACTCGATTTTATTTCGCTTATGACTAATTAAATACATACAATATACGTAATTTCGCTATGACGGAAGCTTCTTATTTACACTATATCTCTTTTTTTGGTTTCTTCTTTAATTCGCTCGGATTAAACAATAAGAGAATTAAGAACCCTGAAAATTAAAAAAAAATACCCTATGTTAAAAACGTGTGTCTCTGTATTTGGTGTCTGTTTTGGCATATCTCTCCCTCTGACTACATTTGTGGTATTATTGTGAACTTCAAATGACACTTTAAACTACATTGAGTTTGGCATCTTGGTTCCCGGTTCTGGACTGAGTATTAAAAATAAGCTAACGTATGACTCTTCGTTTGTTTGTTTTTGTTTTGTTTTTACTTTAGGAATATTGTTTGGCATTTCAGTCATCAGCTTAAAACGTTAACTAAAGGTAACTAAAAACAAAATTAAAAATAACCTAAAGTAGTTCAACTTAATTAACCGTACGTGTAAAACTTAGTTACAATTTATATATACAACCTCTCGCAAAAATGTATGTCTTATCGCGTTTTCATTTTGTTTTTTTGCAAAACTAATGTCTGGTAAAAATCTAAACTATGTATTCCAACTAAGTTTATGTGTTACTTTGCACTTGTCTTGCAAGTTCACGCAATACAAATTGATGTTTAAATTACAATACAATTTTCATTTTGTTTTAATCATGTGAAGTTCTCACTCGGTTTTTGTTTCAACCATATTTCTTGGTTTTTCTCTTTTTAAGATTCAAGAATAAATATATAAATATATATATATTTAATGCGCTGATGAGGCGCAAACCAATGGTGATTGCCTCCCCACAAACAAGACTGGCTCCTGGGCATTGCAGAGTGTGCACTGTGAGAAAAAATGCTGTCCTCGAAAGGGAATATAATTTGAAAATCAAAATAAGTAAGATAAAACACTGTTGAAATTCATTAAAGTATTTTTTGTGAAAATATTTTGTGAAATAGATAAATAGATCTTTCAGTTTTTTTATCTTATAAAAAATCCGAAATAAGGGAATTTTGAAAGTTAAAAAGAAATGTAGCTTTCTGAAGAAGAAAACATATTTTAAGTCGATCTTTTGGTTGTTCTCGAAAGAATTTTGAATGTTGAGAGAAAGTTAAGATTTCTGATTACAAGATTTTTAAAATCTTGGAAAGACAGAAAAATCTCAAGAGATAGAAATCAAATACAAATCTTTCACATACTTATTCTGATCCTAGAATTATATTCTCAGCATTTCTAGTACTGACTTTTCCCTGTGCTTCTAACAACTGATTTCGGAATGATTGTTGTTGTCCTTGTACCGCTCCGCATAACCCTGAATGGTGAACGGTGAGTCCGCACCGCCCGTCGTCGATCCCGTTGAGATGTCGCCGTTCATCACGGCTCCTCCTCCATTGGCCACCACGCCCCCATTGGGAACCTTGGCCTCCGTTTCATTCTTCACCTGAACATTGGCATATGACTGCTTGGCACTGCCATTGGGCAGACTCTTGGACAGCGTCGAGGGATCCAATGTGATGCCATCCAATTGCGAGGCGAAGGATAACGGCGGCTGGATCGTGGTTGGCGTGGGCTGCGGCGTGTCCAGGCTAATCAGCTTGGCATCTTCGCCGGAGGCCAGCGGAGGTATATCCTTGCTACCACCGGCCGCCGGTTGTTCCGTCTTGGCATTGGGCAGAATGAAGGACGTCTCCCAGCAATCGCCGCTGGTGGGAGCCGGATTCTCCACTGGCCGGGGATGTGGGGCAGCTGGCGAGGTGACCGCCGGCGGAGTGCATGAGCTCATCTGTTGGCGCTGCGACTCGGGCACATAGCCGGAACCGCTGGCCATGGATGGGTTGGTGTGGCCACCCGGCGGCAGGGGCACCAGATAGTCCGGCACCGCCAGGCAGAACTCTTCACCATTGGGCGGCCGGATGACCGTGTCATCCCTTTCGGAGGCCGTCGGTCCCAGGATATTCGGCAGCGGAGCGTTCATGATGCTCGGATCCTGGGTGCAGGCGGTCAAGTGCTCCAGCAGACTAATAAAAGTGGGTCGATCCTCGGGCGTGGGATTCCAGCAGTCGGCCATCACCTTGTATATGGAGACTGGACACTCGGTGGGCGATCCTAATCTTCCGCCGCGCACCACCAGCTCCATTACCTGTGTATTGTGCTGTCCAGGATATGGCGAACGACCCAGACTGAAGACCTCCCACAGGAGAATGCCAAAGGACCAGACATCGGTCTTGGACGTAAAGATGCCATCGAGGAAGGCTTCCGGCGGCATCCACTTGATGGGCAACATGGCCTTGCCGCCCTTGCGATAGTAGTCCGATCTGTAGATGTCCCGGGACATGCCAAAGTCCGCAATCTTCACCACTCGACCGGGACCCTTGCTGCTCAGCAGACAATTCCTGGCGGCAATGTCGCGATGGATGAATCGCTTGCTCTCCATGTAACGACATCCTTTGGCCACGTCCAAGGCGCAGAAGAGTAGATCCTTCATGGTCAGCAGCGAAGGACGTTCTGGAGTGTTCCTGTTCTCGCGCAGGAACTTTTGCAGATCTCCGCCAGCTAGCAGTTCCAGGACTATATAGTACGGCTGACGATCGAAGCAGACACCGATCAAGTGCACCATATTGGGATGATTGAATTTGGCCATGATGGCAGCCTCCTTAAGGAAGTCCTCTTCTTTTTCTCTCTTAGGATCCTCACGTAGAGTTTTTACAGCCACGCCCATTTCTACGGCATCACCATCGCGATGGCGATATAAGGCCATGTAGACCTCACCAAAGGCGCCTTTGCCCAGGGCACTAAAAGGGAGTACACAGATTAGTAAAAAGATTCTTTGGAATTGTGAAAAGGAGGGGCACTCACTTGACCAACTGAAGACTGTCGCGTGCCACTTGGGGTAAACTGTTGACATCTATATGACCATTGAGGATGCCATCGCAGCCATAGTTGGGTTAAAGTTATTCAGATTGGAGTCATCGATGTTGTTACGCAATCGAGTAAGTTGAAGGTCCTGTTCAACCAGCATCTTGTGACGCTTTTTAGATTGTTTCTTTCTTTGATAGCGATTGTCTGTGGACAAAGAATTATTATAATATATCTTATACTTTTAGATACTCGTCATTAAAGACTACTCACACAACATAAAGATCAGCGCCCCAATGCAGATGAAGAGGACGCACAGTGATATCATCAGAATGGAGACAAGATACTGGAAGGATGACTTGCCAGCCTCTTCGCGTATCTCGCAGGCTGTGTGGTTGTCTCTCTTCAGTATCCAGCCATCCGGACAGATGCAGCGCACCTTCGACCGGAACTCATCCAAGGCCACGCACCGGTAGTCGCAACCACAACCTTCGATAGCTGGAATAATAATGATGGCACCCGAACCACTGCTGGCGCCCGCATGGACATCGCTTATCTCCCGGAGACTACGGCTGGGACTGATAAAGGAACTGCCTCCTTCGCCATTGGATTCCGTGAGATAGACATCTCCACCGGCATAGCCTCCGCCTCCTCCGCCGGTGTTACAGCCACCGCCGCCGCCACCAAAGCCACCTTGACCATGTCGATGCACAGAGGTTCCATTGTCCGCCAGTTCCACATAGCATGAGTGACCTCCACGACCCCCTTGGAGCAGGGCAGCTCCATAGGTGGGACTCAGGGCCTGATCCTCTTTGGCTCTCCATCCACCACCGGGGCCAGCAGTCTTTTTATTCAGCGGTTCCCCATTGATTTGGCCACTCTCTGGCGCCTGCAAGGGTTTCACCTTTTGGCCATGCTGGAAGTCCTCGTCTATGTACTGACCAATACCCAGTCCTCCGCCGCCGCCAGCCACAAGGAGAGGTACAGCCTCATTTTTGGCTTGATTCAGCAAGAAGACATAGGATCCTCCACCTCCACCGCCGGCGCCATTTTCTATATAATATTTTTGACCATATCCTGTTTGGAACGGAAGCTGTATTGGGCCAAGTCCAGATCGTGATCGGTGCCACAACCGGCTTCCTTGTGCACTCCCATGGATTTAATGCAGGCATTCTCGCCCTGCTGTCCCACTAGGAAGTAAAGTTCTTCGTGCTTGTGTAGCTCCAGAATGGCCACGGCCACCGATCCTCGAGAGCTGCCAACTCCGCCGGAACCCAGACCTCCACTGGCGCCCTTGGCAATGATTCTGTTGAAAAATAATATAAATTTTAAGTATAAGATATGATGATTTAGATAAGATTAACTCACGTGTAGTGACCCTCATTGGGCACCTTCCACTTTTGCATGCCCTTGTAGCTGCTTTGGTCTTCTACCACATGGACTTCCCGCAGGACATGGCTTTTATTCTGCTCCTTGTAGGCAGCCTCGCACTGAGCCTGTGTGGGTCCTATCATGCCTCGAGTGTCGCAACTGGTTAGCTCAAGATCTGGTTAAAAATATATTATTGTAAAGTACACCATGTCGTATACGTTATATAACGATAAGCTTACAATTTGTATATTCGAAATCTTTGTACGTAGGACTCTTTAGATTCTGCCTTACATCCCAGTAGTTATAGCCACCAAGATGATCCTCTGGTATATTAAGCCAAAACATTCGGGACTCAGAGAAAAGTCATCCACAGCCACATCTGAGTAAATTCTCATGCCCATGCGAGCTTCAAATTGTAGATAGTATCTGAGGGATACAAGTGATTAATTTATATTCTACAGAATATTTAAATATAAAACTCACTTGGACGTTATATTGGGCAGCACATACTCCGCCCTTAGCCAGTCGCTTCCCTGATTTTTGGTGCTCCACCATAACGTTGTGGTTATATTCTCCTTCTCCTTCATCTCAACCACAGAGAGATTGATGCTGCCCGGATTCTTGCCAAATTGATGTATGAAGAACCTCACCACACAGGAGTTCCGATACGGGAGTCTGGATTTCCATGGACCGATGGCGGTGGATTGAAGGTCTTGCTTACCATGACGGCATTGCTGGCAAAGCCAATGTTCGAGTTCTTATCGGAGTTATTCATATGCTGATTCATATTGACCAGCATATAGTAACCACTGGTGTTATTCAGGAGATGTTGCATAGTGTGATCTCCATCTGGTCCAGTGTCGTGAGTTGGCGAGGATCCTGTGTGCCGTGACCAAGTGAGTATTGTCTTGCCAGAGTCACGCCATCCACACCAATCCTCCTCAAAGTCACAGCGACCGCCATAGGGGATTTTGTCTAAGTAAGATATATTATTTATTACTACTTTATTTTGTAGATAAAACTATGAGTTACTCACCACATGACTGCTGTTCATCCTCCGCCTCATCACAATCCTTGGTAATGTCACAGATACGCGGCAGGTGAATGCAGACAGGCACCTTATTGGAGGTACACTTGACCTGTGAGGTGCTGCACTTCTCCGACTTGGTGCCCTCGGGAAACAGTTCACCATGCGCAAATTATCCAGGGCCACGTGACCCTTCTGCCCCGGCCTCAGATCAGGAACAATCTCAAAGACAATGCGAAAGTCCCGGGAAACACGACCCAGACGATACACCTTCCTTGTCCACTGGCGCACATTGTCACCCTGGATCTCCGCCGGCACCCAGCTGCTCTCCTGAGTGTGCAGTGGTTCCACCACCACTCTGGAGAGACCATGGCTCATGTCACTCTGATGCATATACACCTCCAAATAGCACTTCTCCATGGTGGTACTAAACTCCGGCGAGGTGAGATTCAAAGGCCTTGAGTTGGGCTGGACACGGGCATACAGAAAGTGTCCAGTGGCATCGTCAATACTATCTGCCACAGGTCCTGGCAACAATCCAGTGAGATTCCGTTTGGCCAGCTCTGTGCCACTGATCACCTGGAAGCCATCGGGATACTCAACCCAAGTCCAGCTGCAAGGCGATTCGAAGTTACACTTTACACCCAGTTCGTACTCGTATTCCGACGACGGCGTGGCATCCGTGTGAGGAGCGTAAGTGTTCTAAAAGATTATAGTTATATTCTTAACAGGAAACTAAATAGATATATTCTAAGATATTTTATGGATTAAAACCACACTCACCGCATTGGGAGACGTATCCCTTATCCTGTCCTTGATCTCCTGCAAAGGATCCGCTGAGGCCGAAGCGCCCTGAGCATCCCCTCAAAGTTGCCATGTGTCACTCCGCCGGCAGGCTCATCTGCCTGGTTAAGCCGGCTTTTCAGCTTATACAGCTCACTGATGGAATTCTTTCGGGGATACATTCGCTTCGGGTTGTCATCGACGCCGTAGAGTGGCGGAAACCTGGTGGAGTAGGCTCCTCCCAGTGGACCCGCTGTCATGGCGGCCATGCCGCTGGGCTGCCTCAGCTGCTCGCCATAGCGATCCGCCGAGCCTATGCCCTGTCCTAGGCCATCGATCCGCCCAATGGAGGAGGTAGCCGAGTAGGAGGGATATCCAGCACTGCTGCCGGAGATGCCACCGCCAGGACCACCCACCGAGGGATTCATTAGCTCTTGCGTAGCGATTCAATGCCACGGCGTCCGTTGCTACCGCTAGGACGTGGTAGGAGACCCGGTGCCAGCTGGGCCAACCTTCGCTTATTATCTCTGCGTGAGCCTGGCGATCCGGAAGCCACCTCGTAGTCCTCGTACTGAGTAACCACCGGCGAAGTGGGCTGTGGCAGAGGCAACGGCTGTTCATGGAGTCTCCCATTGCGAAGTTGCTTGCCCGTGGATACGGAGGAGGAGGAGGAGCTACCTGGCCAACTGTTGGTGAAGCTGGCATGCTGGGACATGGGCAGCGAACTGAATGTGTGGTTCATGATCAGGGGTCGCTGGGCCAGCGTTGGATTATAAACCGCCAGCATCAGAGCCAGCAGCACCCAGTGCACCAGCTGCATCCTGGAGAAGACTCCTTCCTAACACCACTCAAATATGGCTCTTCTGTGTGATGTATCTCCTTGAAAAGATCCTTCTTCTGAATATATTTGTGTCTGTGTGTGGTTTATATTTGTCACTTCTTAACTCCTGGCTAATAAGGGCGACCAGTCGGCGCTTTTAAAGTTCTTCAAATGCAGGCAGCTCATAGCTAAAGCTATCACCCGCAGGTGAGTGTGTTTCTCTTCCCAACAAACCAACGAGCGTTTAAGTCTGCCAAAGAAATATTAAATTGTAGATTAGAAAACACAATTATTTTGTCAAGTGATTAATTTCTCTCATCTTTAATATTTAAAGTCAGCACCCACAGAAATTAATTGCCTCAATCAAATTAATTATCATTTCCGTTAAAATCAGCAAAAGGGAAACTGTATACACGTCAAGTTGTAATTAATCGTCCGTATTGACGTTTGACTTTTTGAAAGAGGGGAGATAATGTTCAGCCCACGTAATGACATTTCATAATGCACGGCTTAGGTCTAGGTATATATGACAGTTTTAGCCCACACAAAAACAGGACCACATGCGTTCCATTTTCAAAGGACTGCCAAAGGATGCCATACCCGAATCAATGAGATTGCCATTCACTTTGTGAAGAGGCCTCGGGCACCGAAATTGCAATAAGTCTGCACCAGCAGCAAACCTTTATGAGAAAACGTGTTTCCTTTCGACAGAATGAAGGAATTTACCTTCAGGCTGGGCCAGGAAAATCGATGATAGCCTTCCGATTACCTGACATTTGCCAAAAGGCACAAGATGCTACCTGCCGATTGCGCTATTCAATTATGAGCTTTCGAATTCGAATGTTCTCGCGAAATTCGTAATTACTACATATTTGTATTGGGCTTTTTATCATTATTCAAATTGCCGGATTCCATGCAAACGTTATTTCATTATAATTTTGTTAGAACAACCACTTTCTATTTTGTTTTCCAACGAAAAAGGAGAATTAATTTCAATAAGCAGATCTTAATTCTCCATGATATTTATTTATTATAATAATACTACTTCATCAATTAATAAACTTCTGTATACATATGTTGGAGACGAGACTCACTATTGAAGTACCTAAAACATTAACAATTTATTTAAAAAAACTCACAAAATAGCAATTTGTGGTTATTATAAAAACTATCTAATTTTAAATTAACATTTTAAATAATTGCAAGCTCAAAGTGCAAACAATAAATCGGATATCATAACAAAATGACAGTGATTCCTAGAAATGTCACTCTACCTTCTTTCTGCGAATCGGTGAAACAACAAAGAGGAAATCGGTTTTATATTTAAATGGAAATGGCGCCTTATTAATTTTTATTTATTTATTTATTATTTTTCCATTATAAATCAATGAAGTTTATGGGGAAAGCTGTATTCCAAGAACAAAAGTAAGTGCGAGTCTGTTTTACAAAATTCTACATATAAAAACCATTTCAATTTGCTGCCTTATTCAAAGTAATTTCCATAAACTATATACAAAATTTATTTATCGAGTATATATTGCTTTGTAGATTGATTGAAAGATTTGAATATATGTATTTCCCTGGCCCGATTTCAAGCATATAGATCTCGATATTTGGGCACACACGTCCAAATGGATTTCTTCATAATTATTTTGGCCTTTTGGATAAATCTATTTCTTGTGTATAGAGACACAGGCATATTTTCTTATACTCGAAGGGGCGTCGTACAATTTCACTTTTAACATTTTTCTTTTTCACACACACTCACAGATACACATCACTCACACACACATACACACACACTGGCATTTTCTCGCATTTTCATTTCGGGATTTGTTTCGCTATGCCGAATGCGAAGTGCATTTATTTTATTTGATTTAGCAGAACACAAACAGTTTTTCCTTCTTTTTCTTGCGGATACTAGACTTTTGGCAATAGATAGAGATGGATGGGTAGGTGTGAAAGAGATAGGTAGCGAGCGAGAGCGGGGTTTAGAAAAGGATGTTTTTCCTTTCGTTTTTTTCGTATTTTCTATTATTTCGGCACCTCTTCCTACGCGCGAAAAAAAGAAAAGAGAGAAAACGTAACAAAAACAACAAAGATTGGGAAATATATATTCGGAAAAAGTAGGGAAATTTCAATCAAAAAATAAAATAAAGGAAAACTCTCTCTCTACGAGAAGCTGAGTGCATATGTGTATGTGTGTGAAACTTCATAGTACGCAAAGTGTGCTATACAAAATGGCTGTCGCGAAAACAACAACAAAGCGGAATTGTAAATATACACACACTCACGCCTCGTAAAAGAGAAAAGCGAAACTGAAGAAAATCCAGCGAGAACTTGACAACTTCCCCTGCCACTCGCTAAAACCATGCAGCGAGTCCAGAACGGAAACGCAACTGAAGCCGAAAGTTCTGCGAGTAACAGCTAAGGAACGGCGGGAAAGCGGGAAATGCGTGGAGCTGGGAAAGCGGTAAGCCAACTAGCTGAAAAACTACACATGCATGCAAAGCACCACCCTTCGCCTCAGGCGGCAGGAAGCGAACTCGAGCTGAGGCAAAAGTTCAAGACACGGACAAGTGCCAGAAGTTCCAAGGATTACCGGGCGAAGCAAAGTCCTCTCGAAAAGTTTATTTTTGTCGCGAATTTTCAATCTGGAGCATAATTAGTGAGGTAGCAAATGCAATTCAATGGAAATATTTATAAATTTTCTTTAAATTGTATATTACAAATAATTTTTTTTTTTTCTTATGTATTTTTAATGAATATTAAAATTTCTTTAAATTGTATATTACAAATAATTTGTTCTTTTCTTGTTCTCTTAATGTATCCGGTTTTTAATTTGTTTTAATTTATGAAGATAATTTGGTTATTACTTGTGACTGAAGCTATATTAAATATTTTGCCAAGCTAAGTCCCCCTTTATAATTTAATTTTTAAAATATGCAGTTTCGCAAAAATCGTTGTAATCTAATCTATTATTTGCTAGAAATCACAAACCTCAGTTGTGACTGAGATAAAAGATAAATCAAAATAAATATATAATAAATATATAAAAAAAGTAAAAAAAAAATATTATTTAATCTCAAATAACTTTTACAATCTTTTAAACTAAACAAACTTCGGTTTCCCTAACTTAGTTTCCCTGTTTTTTATAATATTAAACACAGAATGATTTTGGAAATGGCTAATTAAATTAAAAAGGCAAGAATTAATTAACCCATACTTTCGATCAGCAAAAGGTGGAGACAAATAATTAAGGAAAGAAATTACATCAAATATATGTAATAAAATAAATAAAGACATAAACCTTAATTCTGTATAATAAAAATACAATTAAGTTATCACAAAAACAACACAATTATGAAACTTGCCAATTGTTAAGGTAATCATGTTGTCATTAATAATCTTAATATTTTCTATTTTAGTTTAAAATTCGAGTCAAAAAGCATAGAGTAATATCTAACAACTTATTAGGTAAAACGTAGTGCTAGTGTAGATATCCATTACTATTGTTTTGTGTAGTTGCGATTTCTATGTCTCAAAAAGAACATTATTTAACAATTTCTTTTTTGCTTTATGTGCTATTCTTTTTAATAAATTTTCTTCTAGAGTCAATAGAATATAGAAAACAGTAAGCACATGGGTAGTGTAGTATCTAGTATCCGTATTTTGCAGATACACACACACAGCAGCGGTGTAACAACAACAACATAAACAGCAAGGGATAGCGAGTGGAGGCTGCGTCAACGTCGCAAATATTGCGCTGCCCTCTGTCTCCCTTTCGGGACAAGGATTTGGCAGGATGCGAAACGCAGCTTTGGTTTCGTTGACTGCGCAGGATACACACACATACACTAACACACACAAACACTCATACATGTACACCCTGGTACTGTGCGCTACTAATGGCGCAGACAAATTGTTTTGCGTATCTCACAGATACATAGCAGCCGAGGCGCACAAAAGATACTACACACAAAAACACACCACACACACACATGCACAAAGTAACGAAATTTTTCCAACAGCTCAACAAATTTTTCATTGGATTTTTCAATATTTTCGCTTTGGATTTTCCATGTTTTCAACCACTTTCTTTTAGAATATATATTCACATTTACCATGGATAATTCCATTTCTTATATTTTTCCTGGGTACTGTCACTGGATATTTTCAAAAGCTGCTGATGCCACACAAAAGATGTATTTGATGTATTCCTTGGTTGCTTTTTTTCGCCACTTTCTAATTGGTATTTAACACTTTTTCTAATGGTTATTAATCGCTTTTGTTGGTTAATTTGTTTGGCCTGTGGTTTGGTTGTAACATTTTCTCAATATCTGAGAAAGTACTTCTTCTAATTCTCTCTTTTTTGGGGGTATTTTCTGTTGTTTTTGTAGGGGCCCGTCTATCCGCGTATCTGTTGGATACTTGCGCGCACGACGCTCGGCAAACGAAGACTGAAATGTGGGGAAATTTTTGCAGAGTCGCAGATGCCCGGTTAGCATCGGGGCCCAGCTTCATTACATCGGCATCGGCATCTCGCCTAAACGAATATCCTGCGCTGAAATCGAGCCGCAGGATGCCCGAAGCATCCGAAGCACACACTCACACAGATTGAGAAATATCCAGCTAGGAAATTTCTCACTCACTCACTCGCTGGATTTGTTTTGCACAGCGAAAAGCTGTTGCTGTTTTTCCTGCGATTGAATTGAAAACGCGAAAATGCAAAAGGGGAGGGGCAGGAGGTCCCGACAGGAGCAGCATCAGCAGTGGCGCACCCTGGCGGTCGGCGTAAGCTGGGAAATTAATGCAAACTGCTGGAAATTGAATTTAGCTACATCAGCCACTGCAGTGGCAAGGCAGGAGTATTCTCAGTGGCAAGGATGAGCGGGGAGCTTGGGGAGGCGGTTCTGAATGTCCTGCACTGCACTCGGAATAAAAGTCACCTTGAAGTCCAAGGAGATTCAATGGTGGCTGCAAGCAGAAAGGATTCTTAATTTGTCGAGATTTATTTGTGCATTTGATTGCCATCAATTAGAAAACAGTTGCTTAAAGTTATATTTATAGTAAAATCCGTTCAAATATTTAGTACTTGTACCTTTTATATACATAAATAAGATTATTAAAAATTTACAAAATAAATAGGAATCAAATTAAGGTCTTGGAATTATAAAAGTCAATTAAAGAGGAATTTAAAATGTATTTACCAAAGTACTATCCTCAAAACGAATTAATATATTAATGAAAACTAACTAATTTGCTATTGCTAACTAATTTAAAGATTTTCTTATATACATTTCCCAAACAAGTGCGTTTTTTATGCATACAATATCATGGTTATCTTTTCAATATTTAAAATGGTTATAATTCGATTAGTTATAACTTATGAAGTTTTCTAGCATTTATCATAAAATAACATCACCTATAGAGCACCCTAAATTAGTTTTATAATTCAAGACTCCCAAACATCTCAAACTCCCAAAACTTATAAACAATTTCTCCAAGTGCCTAAGTCCCCAGTGCTCGCTTGTGCGTCAGCCTCCTACCAAGCTGCGTTTCCTTTTTCAATTTGCAGCACAGCACAGTATAAGCCACCATTCCGCACATCCTGTGGCATCCTGCCCTCGCCCTCCAGTTTGTAATATCACCTAATCAGCGCCACGGATGCGACACAAATGCATTTATCTAGTTCCTATCTCATGAACCCAAGATTGTGACAATGCTGCTGGATACTAGGATAAGCCATGTGCTTTCACCGGACACTTGGTTTTGTTTTTGGCCATCATTTATAAAAGCCAAGTCCCTGCGGAAAATGCAATTGTCGAGTTGTGGACCAACAGGTGCTGTGGTCATGAACACAAAGCCAGATTTGGCTTTTAAAATGTGTTGTTCTAAGAAAATTAGAATTATTATGATATGATAGATACGCTTGCTGATTAAATTAATCTTGACTGTGTTGTCTATTAAGTAATTTACTTTTAAATTTAGTAAGTAATTGCTACCTAATGCTGTTTAAACCTTCAGTAAATAATAATCAAAACCAAGTATCTTTTTTATTCAATAATGTACCAAAACGAAACATATTTTTCATCCAAAAAGAAACCCTTGGTGTAATTGCAAAACCCAATTTCCCATTGACAAAATTAGCTGTTCATTCTAAATCAACAAATATTATTTATATATTTTGCATTGAGCATCATACAGCATTCAACTAATGACGACAACAAACGGAAATGGGCGACACAGACGTGGCGACAACTAAGCGAAAATTAATATAGAATCCCGCTGATGAAAGTACATCTGCAGATATACGTATGGGACTATATCTGTAGAACACGCCAATATATACTATATTTGTATATATAGTTTAAAAGTGTCGGCGGCAGCTGCAGAAAGTCAGAAAGAGATCAACAGATCGAGAGATCGAGGGAGAGAGAGAAGAGAGACAGAGGCGACGTCAAAGACCGATCAGAAGGAAACCTCGACATCCACTTTATTTATAAAAATATTATTTCCATCTCGCGGTGTTTTCTCTATTTTGCACCAGTAAACGAGACCGTAAAATGTTTAGAGATGCGCAAATTGCGAACTGCACCCAAAATTGCACATAAAAGATTCAAATGCAGTCTACGCATCCAGCAGATGCATTTTGTTATTAATAGATATTTGCCACGGGAAACTCACTCTGTTCTCGAATGGAGGGGAAATAAGTGCGTGTGCCCGGCACGTGTCGTTGCGGTTAAAAGAGTTTATCCCACTATTTATATATCACTGAGTCTTCAATTATATTCACTTAAATCCGCGCACACGGGCTATGTTTCTGTACTTCACAGATGCGTTTTTTTTGGCTTCGAGTATCTCGTGGATACATCTATCTGTCGTTCTGCTGCGACATCCGCTGTGCGACTGAGCCCTGCGACCGTTCGACGACCACTGACAAGAGGCCGCAGGGGAGTCGCCGCAGCCAGCCAGCCGAGATCGGCCAGAAGCTAAAGATTGCTTGGCTGCGGAGGCGTCGTCCGAAGAAGACGAACATCTCCGCATCCATCTCCATCCCGAGACCATCTTATTTCTTCTTATTTCATCTCATTTCCTGCACTTGGAAAAATAGTTATTGAGTTATAATTAAATGTATCATTATATATATATATCTGATTAAATTTCATTTATTTTTTTTACATTTTTATTATTTATTTTTGCTGAGATATATGACTTTATCATTCGAATTTTGGGATTCTTTAAGGGAATATTCCATTTAGCAACCTGAAATTAATGATTATAAACACTTTATAAAAATATTGATCTGTTGCTAGTCCTAGTAAGAAAATATCTTCATTAAGTCGCATTTGGAAATTAGATAATTTTAATTAATTTTAATTTGAAAGCTTTTTGTGGTTTTTTAGGTTATAAAAACTGTTTACTCAATTTTAAACTTAAGGAAGTCAGAGTTTTATGAATTTTGAAATTGTAACGATGTAACCCCTTATAAAATTTGGAACATTTTGTCAAATAGATTGATTCAGCTGTTGATGCTGATCAAGATATGTATGATTTATGCTTTGCAATGATTTTTATTGTTCTGCACCTTTAACTATAATCAGAATACCTGAAGTTTATTCAAATGTATATCTTTAACAAGTCCCTCTTATTTTTGCGCATTTAATACTCGTACTATTTATTTTTTCTTCTAAATTTCTCGCAGTGCAATTACTGATTCGCTTTTCTCACGGCAACCGCATCCTAGTGTTCGTGTTTGTTTATTTGTTTTCGTCGCGACGTGTCAAGTGGATAATGCAATTGAAATTGACTTGTGCGTTGCCCAACGTTTCGGCCTATCACAGCGGGACGGTGGCGTCAGGACTCAGGATAGCGGCTGACCCCTGACCTCTGGACGCTGGCTCCTGGCATCCTAGCATCCTAGCATCCTGGCTACCTGCTTGAACGTTCGAGCTGTGCCTTCCGATCAGACAAAAGATTTATGTGCATGTCTGGCTGGCTTATTGCAAGGCGAGATATTTTTAGCAGGCATTGCGACAGTTTCTCCTCCTCGGGACTCTTTTCCGCTTGGGGAGCTGCGAAAGTAATTAATGATTGTGAAGGAACTCGGAGGGGGTTTTTTGTAGGGGAATTGGGGTACCAAAACGGAAGTTAACAGATCACAGTGAAGCAATACAATGATTTCATATAAGGAAGTAAGTTTTGAGATATACTTTCGTTGCTTATTTGAATATTATGTTCTTCCGTCCATCATTTTCTTAATAAGGTAAATGTTTTTATATTATTTTGTTAGCATAATCGCAAATCAGTTCATTATTTATTGTTTCTGGGATTATTTTCCCGCCTGCTGCCGTTTCCACTTGAGTAATTCACTGTTCCCCGGCTTGCCTGTGTGGTCGCTGTGATTTATTTCAAGTGTTTTCATCTTCAAGCGTTGCCACCGCTCGCCAATTGGTTTGTTTTGCCTTGAAAAAAGGCGACAAGTGAAACCGAAACCCTGGCCAGGGGTCAGCCAGACTAGTGCCGAAAGCACTTCAGTGTGTCAACTGTCAAATTACAACTGCCAACTGTCAACCCTATGGAGTTTAGCTGTCAAAGTCTTGGGCTTGGGCCTTTTGTTTACGTTTTTTGGCTTGGCGCCTGCGTCGTGGCGGCATAAACACAGTATGATGCAAACAAGTGGCTGTGGGCCACGTTATCCTGCCATGGCGGGGCACAAAGTGTGGCCACCACCAGCGGATCGATTGGCGTGGGACATGCGCAGGAGTTGCTTATGGACTCTGTGGACGCCTACTCGGATGTAGACACAATTATTTCGGTCAGAACGCTTCTGTGCCTTGTGCAAAACGGTTCAAGCTCTTCATTCAGCCCAGCGCTTTTGCTTTCAGTGTGTGTGTACAGCGTGTGTGTGAGTGTGAGTGTGTGTGGTTGTTGGCCAAAAGTTCCCGAGTAGAGAAAAATCAAATTATCGGCCATTAGCTTCAACACAATAGCACCTTGTTTTAATTTTTCGACAAACGTGACAAGTTTTTTTCCGAGATTTAAGAAAACCCTCGTGAAAAATCGTGAAAATTCTCGCGCGCGCTCCTTTGTGTGTGTGAAAGGACGAGTGTGTTTGAGTGTCGCTTCTGTTGCCTTGGTTGCTTTCCACACTCACACAGCATTTCAGCATTCGAAACACACTTCTGTAGCAGACACACACAAATCACACACACACACACATCGTTGCCGTCGTCACCGACTCCCTCTGGTGGAAAAGTGAAAGTGACCCGGAAATCGGACAACTCCGTGTATATATATATCTATATATTTTTCGCACAACTTGGCTGACAAAAAGTTAGTGGCTGAAACCCTGAACAATTTTCTTCATGCCTCAAAAACCGAAATTCAATCGTAAATCCTCCCCTCGATTTGCTCCTTTTTATGCGTGGCACATACAACAATTTTCGTAGTCCTTTCTTCCTTCCTCTCAGTTATTCCTTTCCTTTTTTTAAAGGCACACACTTATACACAGCACAATTTTTTTAGTATTCACCCACAAACACCCCACCCTTTTAACCTTCAATTTCTGGCATGCTGTAAATTGTAATAAAACGAAAAAGAGATAGAGAGAGTCTACCTTTTGTAAATACTTTTTGGATTGTGCATATTATACGATTTTTTCGCCAAATATTTATTTATTATATTTTTGGAAATGCAGTCGAAATGATTTAATATTAAGGCAGCAAACGGATTTCAATAAAATCCGTTGCAAAACAATCAAAACTCTGTATGTGTAAAGTAAAGAAAATATAAGAAGAGATATATCTGAGGGAGTGGGACCAGAGACAGAAATCAAATTGCAACAGGTAAGTGGCAATTGGGTGAGTTGTAATCATAAATATATTTGATCGATAAGTTCAGGTAAAGGTAATTGCATATTCTTCGGGCACTTTGCTAGTACATACTGTGTGTGCAAGTTTTCCCCCCATTTTTTCCGTGCATGCTCGCTCCCTTTGAAACCATCTGTTCGCCTGCAGCCACGCCCACCTTGATCCTTGATGCTCTTGTTATTGGTGTTGTTGTTGACAGGACCTTGCTAGCTGGCATTTGAGGTTGCCTCTTTACCTTTTGCCTTTATGGTAATTGTAATTAGTTGCCAGTCGTCCGCCATGTTCAAGGACAGTCGCGGAGGCTGGCATCTAGGACGACTTTCTCGAAAGGGGGGCAAAAGGCAAGGCGAGGGCAGGCGCAGACGCGTGTCCTGGGTGAGGCCAAAGGTGGAAGTGAATTACAATTTAATTACCAGCCAGTTTCAAAAGGCTCAGGCATTGGGCTTTGTGCTAAACCCCCAATGGGATGAATAATAAAGAAATTATTTTTAGAAGTTTTCAATTACAAAGGAAGCGCTAGGAACTTAAGTCGACCCCAGGATATACTTACAAGTATGTTCTTGTTACTAATTTTAGCTTAATTGCCATTATTGGGTGTCTTGAATCTGAGATTAAAGTTAGAATTACATAATTTTAAAATAATTCAATCATTATTAGTAATTCATATTTCCTTCTTCTGAAGTCATAGGCAGCTTTATTATTAAAAGAAAACACTTTGTTCTAAAATTCTTTAAAGCTAAATCTTAACGTGTAAAATGTATAAGAAATCTGCATGATGATTAAATCATAAAATGTAATATTATAATATGCTTCTTTTATTATGAATTCCAATTTAATTATAAATTTTGTCAAGCATTTTTCAAACTCCCTTTAAAAAGTTTATTCTCTTTAAAATTCCTCTTTTAAAAGTTATTACCTTAATAAAGTTTTCGATGATTTAAGAAGAGAAGAGAGGAGAATCCTTGAGAGTCTCCTGGTAGCCGATTATCGTCTGCAAGTTGCTTTTCCTTTTCAGAATTACTTTGATTAATTAGAATCTATTTGTGTGTGTGATTTGCAGTAAACCCAAATGCCCGAGGCATTGATTCTACCCGGCATGGCTGACGCAGAGCCGGACCTCTCCACGTTCGAGAATAAGACGGGCCTGGCGGAGGATATGAAGTTCCTGGCCTCCATGCCCGAGCTCTGTGACGTAACCTTTCTGGTGGGCGATACCCGTGAGCCCGTCTGCGCCGTCAAGGTTTGTACTTAAATTCTAGTACTTGATATTTTCCCACTGTGTACATGCTGATGTGTCCTGTGTGAGGCTGGGCATCGGAATCAGGTCACTGCGTAATCGCCACTCTGTGACTCTAAATAATGTAGAGTCTTTTGTGTGAGATAATACCCGCGGGAATGCGTGTGCCTTTGAATAGCTGAAAAGATTCAGTCATTGCAGAGGCTATAAAATATGGCAGAGTTCGATCCTTTTATTCAATTGCAAACTGGAATTTTATTCTTTAAAACCTCTTTATAAATAGTACTAAATTTCTCATTTTTCAGGCTGTCCTGGCATCCCGTTCCCGGGTCTTTGCCAAGATGCTGTATGCAGCCCCATCGCCGCAAAGGAAAAGGGAGACCTCGACGAAGGAGAACAAGCTGCGCCTCTTCCTGAAACGCTCCTCGGAACCGCTGCTAAATCTGCAGAATGCCGCCCAACAGGTTCGCATTCGCATGCTTTGATACTCTCTGTCCCTTTAACAAGTATGCTCCGTATTCATTCATAATCGATTACCCATGGGGGGTGTATCCATACCAATTCATTCCAAGCCATATGCCCATCTCCATCTCCATTCAGTTCGATGTGTGTTCAAGGAGTGGAGGAGTGTGCCACCGGTGTGATTTTGCATTTTGTGTGTGTGTCTCTGCATCATTGGGGCTATTTTTGTAACCACCTTTTCAGTTACCTTCATTTCGCATTTGTTCTCCTCCTTGTTTTTCTGTGTGTGTGTGTATGTGAGCCAGCGATAAAAGCCCTTTTTAACTGATATCAATGTTCTTTGTGCATTCTCTGTTGTGACAACCACCATTCCTCATCAAAAAAAAAAAAAAACTCGTGTCCTCGTACTCGTTATCCCGCAACCCATATCTGTAAATCATAGAGAACCGGTTTCACCCAACAATTAGCTCCGATACCCGAGGTAACCAAGCATCAAATCAAATCAAAAATAAAATCAAATACTGTCGCTGTAAACGTGTGTGGTTGTCGTAATTGATTGAAGCTCCTTGATGTGTCCTTGCAGACATAAATAATGATGATTCTTTGTCACAATAACCTGTTTTCTTATTTATTATTTTCCGATGAAGTGTTTCCAAAGAGATTCTTGATTTAATTTGGCTTGAATTCTGTGTATTTTCTTTTGAATCTGCAAGGACATTTACAACTTCGGCATTTCGAAGCTAGCTTCCTCTAACTATTAAATCTATAAATATATATAATTGAATAGATGTAGATGTCTATGTTGAATGTGCGTCTAATAAAGTGTCTAATCTTTGAGGATGAGTTACCTAGAATGGTTTGAGTGTCATCAAAATGAACTTGTGCTCTTTCCACTGAATGACTCCTAAATACTTCTCCTTCTCTATCTATGCCTAGTTATTGTATGCTTAAATACTTCTCCTTCCTATATAGAATTCTCCTTATTGGTGGGAAGTTATCTACCCACAAATATTATCTGTCTTCTGTCTTTTAATAGTACATATATATACGAAACCTTAACGAATGAGCTACTTTTGGGTTGCCTGACCTTCACCAATATTGGAATGTCTATAAAAATTAAAGTCCTTGCACCGCTTAGTTGTTACTGTTCTATTAGCTGATTTTAACAAATCTTATTGTGCATTGTTTTTAATTAAATATTCTTGAATTTAGCCCTCAGGTCAACAGCATCAGACCTTAATTATTGAGGAGTTCGAGCCAGATGTTTTTCGCCAGCTGATCGAATATATTCACACGGGCTGTGTGACCTTGCAACCGCGCACTCTTTTGGGTAACTTTGATTATTATATTCAATATGATTAAAGAAAGGTATTTAATTAATGGGAAAATCTTCTTTTAGGTGTCATGAATGCCGCTGATTATTATGGCCTCGAGGAACTGCGTCGCGCCTGTGCTGGATTCGTGCAATGTTGCATCAATGTGGACACTGTGTGCGCCTTGTTGGCCTCCGCCGAGCGTTACATTCAGTACAAGTGCACCAAGACCTTGGTGCAGAAGGTTCTGGAGTTTGTGGACGAGCATGGCAATGAGGTTCTGAATCTGGGCAGCTTCACTTTGCTGCCACAGCATGTGGTACGCCTGATCCTGGCCAGGGAAGAGCTACGGGCGGACGAGTTCACCAAGTTCCAGGCGGCGCTCATGTGGAGCAAGAAATACTACGACAACAATCCGGTAAGGATATCGTTTTGATATTTTCCTCAGAGAGATAACACTTATCTGATCCTCCAAACAGAACATCGACATCAAGGAGATCCTGGGCACCTTCTGCGAGTACATTCAGTTCCACAAGATTCCTGCCAATGTCTTGATGCGAGAGATACATCCGCTTAATCTCGTCCCCTACTCGATCATCATGAACGCGCTGGCCTACCAGGTGGGTTGCACTGTGCTTCTCGATTTGCTAACGCGCTGCTTCCTTGGTGTTTAACTCAGTCACTCACGCCGCCATCTGTCCATCTATCTGTCCGCCTATCTGTCTTTCCATCTCAACGTCCATGTCCATGTGTCCATCCAATGTCTATCCATCCAACGTGCACTCCATTCCGTCCATCCATCCTGTTGTCCCCTTTATGTCTGATTCTACACTTTGCAGGCAGACCCAGAAAGCATCGACCCCGGAAAGCTGTCTCCCAACTCTAGCCGAGTGAGGCGGGCGCGCCAGAATCAGGGTCGCTCCATGTCGGTCCAGAGCTCACTGGATCCCTACGGATCGAACACCACGCTCAGCTCCAGCGGCAGCAGCGACCCCACCAGTGGGCCGCATCACAGCAACTAACATAAGTTGAACGGCCCCTCCTCCTCCTCCACGTCATCCCAGCCCCACCAGCATCACCATCGTCATCGTCATCACCACCAGTCGCTGCCCAAGATCCGCAAGGCCAAGTCCCAGTCTTTCCGCACCCGACGCAGTCCCTCGGAGCGTCGGAGTCCCAACAATGCGCCGAATCTTACGCTGAACACTGCCCTCACCTCGGGCAATGGCGGCGGCGATAAGAAACGCAGTCCTCTGACACCGAAGAGTCCTGTGCTGCCGGCACCGGAATCCAAGAGTCCCGGCAGTGGGTCCCAGAAGACACCCACATCGCTGTCGCGACAGGGTACACTGCGTGCCTCCAACCGGCGGAAGAACAGCGGCCAGCTTTCCATTTCGCTGGGCAATCAGGGCAGACGTAGTCCCGTCGGCCTCAACGATCGCAGTCCACAGGGTCGCCGTAGTCCGCTCTTTCCCAGCAGCGGATTGAGGTCACCGAATGACCCGAGTCCCACTGCCAGAAGTCCCACGGGAGAAATGCCACGTCGTAGCAGTCCCACCTTCAGTGTTCATACCCAGGAACGAAGATCTCCACTTGGAGCAGTCGCACCCACGGACTTTGGCTGCCAATTTGGAGTGCCGGGAACACGCAGGAGTCCCACGTCCACAGTGCATGTCCAGGACATGGCCACAGAGCCAGAAGAGGCGGGTTTCGTGGGAATGAAACGACCCTCCATCAGTCTCTTTACGCCCATCTACTTTGCCAGCGAGAAGCGCTCCCCGATGGGTCCCATTCCACCCATCACTGTCTCCAATCCCGCCGAGACGTACAAGAGCGCGGAAAGGGAACGCGAGGCGGCCGAGGCAGCCGCCCGGGAAAGGGAGAAGGAAAAGGAGAAAGAAGCGGCCGCCCAGCCGCAGGAGAAGAAGAGCGTGATGCGCGAGATCCTGGCCTTTGTGCGGAAGCCATCGAAGCACATATCCACGCGAACGAATCGCTTTGCGAATGCCTTCACGCGAGCAGAGACGGGCTCATCCGGTGGTCCTTTGATCCGGCAGAGCACGTTCTCCGCCAGTCCAGCGGCATCGTCGACGGCCGCCAAGAGTGCTGTCCAGAAGCAAATGTCCGAGGTGGGCTTTGAGCCAAAGATGTCCTTGAAATTCGCCCACTACACCAAAATGTCCCTGAAGCTACGCAGATCGGCGAAGCGCCAGGAGGAGGAGGAGAAACAGAAGGAGGACAAGCAGAAGCAGGGCTCCTCGGCATCGGGATCCAAGAGGCCCAGTGCAGACCTGAGCCAGGGCCATCCAGAGCAGCAGGTAGGTGGCATGGAGGAGCAGCCCTTCGAGTTGGCCAACGTGCACTTCGAGAAGGTAGGTGAGTCCTATATCAAGCATGAGAGGCTCCGCGAGCTAGAGGAACCGGAACTGGAGGCTGACAAGGAGGCCAAGAAGGAAGCGGAAGGCGAGGGCGAGCAGACCGATGCAGCCATGGCGCAGTTCGTGGAGGAGGTCACCAACTCCCTGAAGGTGGTGGCCCTCAACGGCGAGGGCGGTGCAGCCGTCGTTCATCACTTTACGCGTCGCTCAGAGAGTAGAGAACCCATCGAGCCCCGCATTAGCGAGGAACGAGAGTCCGACTCCAACGATCTGATGATACCCGAGGAGATGCGCGCCGAGCTGGTAGAGATCTTGAAGGCCTACGCCCCAGAACCAGTTTATGTGAATCTGCAGGCGCTGCGGCGGGAGACCGAAGAGGCGGACCTGGCCGCCGTCCAGGCCGAGTCCGAGTCGCTGGCCTTGACGGCGACCTTGCCCGAGAAGAAGCCGCTGCAGTGTCCTACCATCGAGTTTGAACCGCCGTCGCGACGCTCCTCCTTCGATCCGCCGCGTTCCCCGTTCCTTGAGCAGCTGCGCAGTCCCGGAGTGGACACCGAAACGGATCTGATTAACCTGCAGCGCTTGGACTCTGGGGGCGACAGCTTCGAGCTGGTCGAGAGCAAGTGGAGCAAGTCCAGCCGGGGTGAGTCAAGCTTCGACTGTCCGTACTCCTCCAGGGACACCAGTTTCGATGTCTCGATCTCGCGGTATCAGTCCACCAGCTACGAGGATCAGACCTCCAGCTTTGAGATCGTGGACACCGACGAGAAGGGCCAGGGCCGCCGAGCCGTGGACCTGCGCAAGAGCTCCATCGAGCTGGTGGACGCCGAGACCTTTCAGAGGTCCGGTTCCTCCTGCGGCGGACGCAAGTCCTCGCTGGAGACCCACTTTGACTATACGCCCACCGAAGGCGGTGGTCGTTCGCCCAGCTTTCCCTTTCCGGCCATGAGCAAGAAGCAGCGAACAGAGAACTTCCGCCAGCTGCACGTGTCCCCCTTCAGTGCCTTCTCCCGGGCACGCAGTCCGCTCTCCCAGCAGACCTCCTCGAACTACAGCTCCAGGGACAGCTATGACTCCAGTGGCTCCTATCCCCATGGCTACGGTTATCCCCCGGAGCCGCCACAGCGGAGTCCCTATGGCGATCCAAGTCGCAAGCACTTCCCTCTGACCGTCCGACAGAAGGGCCTGCAGGAGGAGGAGCGTGAGGTGCGAACCTTCCTCTGCACTGATCAGAGATGTGCCTCCATCTTCGAGCCACGTCCCAGCTCTGTGCTCACCCAGCAGCTCTCCACGGGCTCCATGTCCACTCCGTCGGGTTATACGAACAATGGAACAATGCCTCGTGAACGATTTCCAGGTTACGTAGCTGCCGGCACGGGCTCGGGAACGGGGGCGGGAGTGGGTGCTGTGGGGCCACTGCCCCATCCGGGACCTCTCTCTTCCTGCGGCTTCTCGAGCGGCAGCGAATTTGAGCCACCATCGCCGAGACGGGCGGCCAGCGCCTCGCCGAAGCACACCTTCACCTTCCGCATTGTGATGAAGAAGGTGGACAGCTCCCCGGAGGCGCTGTGCCCGGAAAGGCATCGGTCACGGATCATTGATCGGTACAGGAGGCGTGACAGTCGCCGCAAGCGCATCCATGATGCGGGCAAGAGCTTCTAGAGAGTAGGAAATGAAGCTAAGTGGGTTACCAGCGATGGGGAAAGTACCTAGATAGAAAACTGAACTACTGACAGGTTTAACTTTAACTCTGATTCTAGATCTTTGATTTCGCACTAACTGCCTTCTATTAAAGACCCCCTCTAAAGGGTATACAAAAAAAATACTATTAAAAATCAGAATTCAAATCAAAATAAATCAAAATTAAACCTCATATATTTCAAGCTGTACAAATGATAAGATAACTAAGTAACTAATGGTAGTAATAAATGTACACCTCTCTATTTGATGTTGAATAAATATTGAAAAGGGATTAGAGAATATAAATAGTTAAATACAATTCATATATGTATGAATGCCATTTCTCAGTACCTTCAACTTCATAGAATTCAGAACATACATCCATATATATATTTATATAACAGGTATTTTTTGTAGTTAGTCAAGGAAATATTTATCCATATATATATGTATATGTGTACACTACCCATTGCTGGTGCCAACCAAGGTGGACCTCAGTAATTATTCGCGGCAATCTCTAGATATCTCCTCGATACGCATATATTTTTGACAATCTCAGTGTTGGATCTATATATATTTGACCTCTCTCAATCGTAATTGTAACCGTTTAAATGTCTAGGCTTAAGTGAAGACGCCGAAACCATGGGCGTTCGGTTATCAAACTTTATAAAATGGTTCTGGTTTTTAGGCCGTTTCAAAAGCTCTACCAAAAACCAAAAGGCACGAACTTCGGCCCACCGAAGTCTGGTACTTATGATCTCTGCTGATTTGTCAAGCAACCCTCGTTACATCTGCGGTTACAAACTGATAACCGTATATTATATATATATGATATTATGTAATCTACAAACTTAAGCGCAACAATAATTCCTCCCACGATTTACCTGACTACTATTTAAAAAAAAAACAAAAAAAAATTAAGTAAGAAAAAAATAGATCAAAAGTTTATATGTATACATGTGCATACAGGAGTTCACACATTGATGTTGTAATTAACGTGGAAAACCGATATTATATATATATTCTAAGTATTTGTGCATTTTTACGTGGTTCCTGTTATATAGCTATAGTTATATATATACCATATGTGCGTGATTGGACGCAAAGTATTACAAATTTTTGATGGCATCATATAATCAATATACATATATATTCTGATTCCGATTCTGATTATGATTCTGAAGAAACCTAATGCAATTTAATTCTAAATGTAACCGAACTGCGCTGCTATTGCAAAATAAGATCAGAAGTGTTTTTTCTAGTTAACTCCTAAGACTAAGATCAGAGCAAAATTATGCGCATGCGCCTGCGCGTGTATTATATTAAAGCTGGACTTGGGGCCGTACTTAAATCGTAAAAATATGAAAATGAAAATCTAGAGAGAAGGAAAACATTACATTTTGTGCCGTACAAAACTTGAAAATTATAGCGGTTACCAAAATTAATATTTAATGTTAAACTTTGAGCAAAGATTTTTGGACTCTGTGTTTGTTAGTTACAAAGAGAAAAAAGCAAAACCTGTTTAAGAGAATCCTACATTTAAGCGGAGTATCTAAAGTATCATAATTTACAACATATACATGCATATATTATATATACACTTGTAATATTCTTAAGTAAGAAACGTTGGCTTTTTAGCAAATCAATTTACTTGTAAGCAGAAAGATATCAGCATTTTACAGGTAATTACGCATCATGAGCATTTAATTCCAAACTAAATGGTAACTAATCGTTAAGTAATTGCTAAACACACAAACTGGGATCCGGAGATCCATAGTTCTGGTGATCTGGAGACCCATCAATCCACGCGCTAAACCACACTCGTAACTAATCGGAATGCCAAGTAGAACGTTGCTATTTTGATTTGTAGTTGCTTGTTTTGAAACTAACCACCAACCAGTCAGTCAGTCAGTCGATCAGTCAGCTTGTCAGCTCGCTAGATATTCGTATTTTGGATCGGTTTTTTTCGTAGCGCCTCTGAATGCTTGCGAGAGGCAATCCACCATAGTGGACTATGCCAGAGAATCGAAGGCAGAGCATCCAACTACAATTTCACAATGCCAACTTCTTCTATTTGCAGAGCGGTTTTACAGTGTGCCAGCTGGATCGGATGTGGATCTAGGCAAGGATCCAGGATCCATTCCCCCCTACAATATGTTATCCAATATTCCCAAGCCCCCATTTATATTCAAAGGATGCCGTTGTCGTGGCATTCGTTAGACTAAGTCCAGTTCCAGTTTGAATCGCGTTACTTTGTTACCGCTCTCGCATATATACATACATATTCGAAAAGTTAGAGCTAAAGACCTCCGTGGACATTATGTGCGTTCGTTTTTATTGTAATTTGAGACAAAAAAATAAAGCCCAGATTTCTGTGTTACCCAAAAAATAGAACAACCTAGATCTATGCAGATCTAGACTTTGGCATTCACATGCAGGGCCAGCACACCATCGAAGTCATCCGATCCGATGTGGATATAACCATAGCCATGTTCATTCACAGTGACGGACTTGCCGGTGCAGGCACCATCGATCAGGCTGCCAGAGATCACATCGCAGTACTCTCCAGCCGGAAGGCAAGTATTGAGCTCCTGGGACAGATCGTACAGGTTGTTGTTGACGGCCAGGAAGCCCTTGTTGCCACGGCAGAAGGAGATCTGGTTGTCGCCATTGTCCCACCACCCATGCAACTCGGTGTCCCTGACGGCATTCTTGAAGCCCACCATGGCGTAGATCTGGCGCCAGCGATGCTCGCAAATCCAGCCATTCACACAGGCTCCATCCTCATCGAACTCCGGGGAAATGATATTCTCCTGGGCGTCCTGCGGCGGCGGAGTATCGTGATCGTCGAAGGCAAAGGAGCTCATCACACGACTGATGCCATAGGGGTAGGCCAAATGGAAGGCGGTGGCCATCTTGTACTGCCTGGGTGACTTGTAGTTCAGTACGGCTCCCTTGTCACGCTGGTTGTCATGGTTATCCACAAAGGTCAAGGCCTGCTCGGACTTCAGGAAGCCCCAGTCGGTGCCCCAGCTCTGCAGCCACTTCAAGGCGTTGTTGCCACGGAAGGCCTTGCCGATCTCCTCGGAGAAGCGGAACTCGGTGACGGCACCCAGCTCATTGTATTCCTCACGGGACACGGTCTCGTGACCATGATCGATCACCTCCTGGAAGATGAAGGGCCTGGCATTGTGGGGGAAGCCATGATCGATATTCAGGTTGCTCAGACTGCCGTAGATGTACTATGGAAAAGGTTAACAGGATAAGTATTCAGTAAGTTCTATAATATTTTCCTTATAGCCAACTCACCTCCAGATCCTCGGAGGCCATGTGCTTGGCGGCATCCACACGGAAACCGGCCACGCCCAGCTCGATGAGGTGATCCAGGAACTCAATCAGCTTGCTCCTCACATAATCGCTGTGCTGATTCAGATCCTTGAGGCCAACCAGCTCGCACTCCTGCACCTGGAAGCGATCGTTCCAATCGGTGATCTCACAGCTGGGATGGAAGTCCTGGGCGGTGTAAGGCACACCGGGGAAAGATTTCTTGGAAGGCTCGGCCTCAGTGCCGGCTGTGCCCACGGCAACGCCATCAAAGTCACCGGACATGTGATTGAGGAGAACGTCCACGTAGATGCGGATACCCACATCGTTGCAACGACGAACCATGTCAGCGAACTCCTCCTCATTGCCAGAGCGAGTGGTCAGCTTGTAGGAGATGGGCTGATACCTCTCCCACCAGGGACGACCCGACGAGATGATGTTCTCATTCACGGGACTCACTTGGACGCCGGCAAAGCCGCGCGGTGCCAAGAACGTCTCGCACTCCTCGGCAATGTCCGACCATTTCCACTCGAAGAGATGGACGATGGTGTTGCGATTGCCCCACCACTGGGGATTGTGCTGGGCCAGCGAAAGGCTGGCACCCGCCAAGCAGAGCGTCAGGGCCAAAGCGAACTTGATCATGACCGTAAAAAACTGTGCCTAATCTTAGGAGCTTCTCCCCTTTTATACACGTCGAGGCAATCTTATCGTTGATTTGCTTCGCTTGGGTCCAATTTACGACCAGCAGATGGTCGCCCAGCGATTCGGGGCAGATTTACAATGGCCATCGGCTGACCTATGGCAATATGCGATAGTGTCCCTGGATATTTGCAATTCGTGAGTGGCTTGGCATTCCCAGAACATCATAAGACACACGACGCGAAGATTAGATTTGTGAACTCTAAATACCCTGCCTGATTGTTACAATGTTTTGTGTGGGTCTAAGGTTCAAGAGGTTTTTACTTAAAGTATTTATTAAAATGTATTTTTGTCTTGTATTAATGTAGTAAGCATATTTATAGTTACTAGAAAAGGTAGAATAAATCCTAAACTTGCCTTGTTTTTCTTTAGATCGTCAGTAAAAGCCACGTACCCCCCTTTAAGAGTAAAAATAAGTTCAATCGCCCGACATGTTCTGCTTGAAATCGATAATTTTTATTACTCTAATTTATGACAATATTTTTTGCATTCTGTCATTCCTTTAGATTACGATTACGATTTGTGAATTATGAAAACAGATTTCTTGTGTTTACTGCGAGTGTCACTTGGCTTCGGCCAGGCGAACTTTGGCTCCTTTTGAAGCATCCTCTTACGAACTGCACACTCCAGATTATAATTCTTGCGTAAAATTACGGAAAAATAGTAAATAATCTCGACCACAGAGAGCATGCTCATGCCCACGAAAAGACTGAAGGCACTGCCCAAGTTGGCTAAACAAAAATACACCTCTAGTTAAAAACATTTTTATAAATTAAACAATCTACTTACAAACCAAAGTCACCATATTAGAGAGCAAATCATGACGGAGACGGCGATAACTGAAGGAATTAATAAAGACGTGAACTATGCCATCATTCTTGGCTATTCCTGAGCTGAAATTATAGAGTTCTTGAGTATGTTTATATATTAAAATATATTTTATATACTCACTAAAACTTGTCCGCCACGGGCATGTTGAGTTGTAGGGGAAAATTTGATATTTGGACATCGAAATCAAAGTGCTCACAGGTCAGGGGACAATAGCATTGAGTGCTTCTGTTTCTTGTTATAATATTTGCTAAAAACAAGGTATTAAATTTCTGCATTCATTAAATAATAAACCGAAACCCACCAAAGTTATCCACCAGACATGGAATATCACGGAAAGTGCAAATTCTATCTCTGGTACGATTAAAGTCAAAGAAGTATGTGTGACATCCACAAAACTTAACCATATTTGTGACCCTGCAGTTCAGTTCACAATTGGGATACACATAATCTGGAAAATAGCGAAGGGGAAACTCTTTCTGAAACACACAGTTTCTCTCCTCGATAGTCAAAGCTTTGACAGTCCCAGAACAAAAGGTTTCCTGTGGTCTTATAGCTGCAAAGGATTCTGTATTAAAAGCTATAAAATTCGCAGAGGCATGGGCACTGGGAAAGGCATCAGTTTCCTGAATCAATAGCTTTATGCCATAAGAATATGATTGTACAGGATCGTAGCTGTCATCCATATATCTCACAATGACAGAAAGACCATATTTTTGACCTCCTATGGCTCGCTGGGCGGTGAAGTTGAGGCTGCTTTAAAAGATTTATTAAAAAAATTTAAGGAATTATATTAATTTAAATATTACCAACCCCTTTTGTCTCAAATTAAACGAGCAGCAATGTCCAAAAAATGTCTTGGATAGCTGAAAAAGTTTCGAACAATCCATAATATTGCCATTGAATCTACAACGATATAGAATCTCATCGCAGTCCCAACGTAAGTGCTCTACAAACTGTTGAATTGTTAGATTATTTAGAGAAAGCAAGGACTCCATTTGCTCGATATCCTGCGCTGTATAACGTTCATCGTCCAACATAAAGCCATAGAAAATGTGCAGCTTTCGCAGAATGCCAGATAGTTCAGCTCCCTGAGGGAGTTGTCTATGAATTTTATAATATATAATACATATATATAGATATATTTAGATAGTCTCATTTCTACCCACATAGTCCTTAAGAAAGCCTTGGACTTTTGCATATTGAAAAGCACATCAGGACAGATGGTAACCGGTGGAAAGTAGAGATTATTAACCGGAGTATGATCACTTTCCACATTCATTCTGGTGGGATTACTGCGATAATCCACGTAGAAGGTTTGCGCCATAACCACAGCGCAGATGAACATCACCAGCGAGATTAGGAGCCACACAAAGTGCACAATTTTATTGGTATCCTCATCGCGGGTGTATCTCAAGCCATGGATACTGCTGGTGGCACAAAAATCACTCCAAGTGCGCCGCAGGGAACCCATCAGGGGCGACACCTTCAGGTCCACCTGCTCCGGACTAAGTTCCTCCTCTTCGTGACCCATTGGAAAAGACGACTAAAGGATATTCTTTTCGCTGCAGACATTTATATACATGTCCGAGGAGATGGCTTCACTTGATATTCTGACAACTGCTTATTAATAACGAATTAGGCTTTGGGGGGTGAGATTGTGAAAGACCTTTTGAAGCATTTGGGGAACTGCTAAGGTAAATAATCGTTGTCCAGGTACTCTGTATTTTCTACTGAAACTGAATGAACCCCCAAGTAAAAATCCATGTAACTTTTCTTTGATATACTTAAACTATAGTTTTAATTGGTTTTTCATACATTTGGTTGCTTGCTTACTTAACAATGTTCGCTTGAGCGGATCATTTCGTTTCAAAACAAATCGGTGAGAGAACTAAACTCTGGCGCTATCACAATAAGATTAGAAAACTACGCATTTGCAATGGTAGACCTCGGATTTGCCTAACTAGAGTTTGACAATTTGTGCTCGATTTGGTTTGGTTTTCAGTTAAGGGGTTTGAGTTCACAATTCACATTTACAATCGGAAGCTATAAACTGTCTTTTGTTCTGCGGATCGCTAGCTAGATCGTTAGTGTATATGCAGGTATAGGAATAGATCAGTGGCTAGCTATCTGTATAACAACTTTTGGCTTAACATATAGGTAACTAAAACAAGGACTAAGCTACGCTTTTCATATCATATAGTGTACGGTGTGTGTGTGTGTGTATATTGGCTAATCCTACATCCTGGCCGCTTCCTAGGAGCTAGTGATGGCCTGCGTCGGTGGCGCCGCTCCATTGCTCAGCCTTTGGGGTGTGGTGCTGCTGGTCGCCTGCAGTGCCGGCTTTTGCTCATCATCCTCCGGATTATCCCAGAACTGGCGTTCTCCGGAACCGAAGATGTTGTAGAAGGTGCCGCAAATGATGTACACAAAGGCGGCAATGAAGAACACGATCTGCCACTGACCCATCATGGGCTGCAAGTACAAGAGATGTCAGGTAATGTTAGTAAAACAATTTTAAATTTAGAATAATTGATGGTTTTATATACTAAGAAGTCTAACAAGGTTGCTGCATGTATTTATACCAAATCTGGCTAAACCAAAATTTTGCAATACTTTATAAAATAATATAGTTGTCTCACTTTTGGGTATATAATCTAGTGCTGTTTATATAGGATGTAAACTGTTTGTTTATATAATTATTTATTAATTGCTTTGGTCACAGATGCTATATTTAACCCACAAAACTGACAGTATTTAATTTTTCAAATGTATTTTTGATATAAAGAATTATTTCTATAAATTTCCAAGTAATTATAATAATTGTGACTTTACCAGTATTTTTTATACCCTTGCAGAGTATTTCATTTTCAGTCAGAAGCTTGAAAAATGTGAAGAGTCATTTCTGAACCTATATGTTATATATATTCTTGATCAGCATTGAAAGCTGTATCGATCTAGCTAAAAAGTAGCATAGAACAGCTTTCCGAACTAATATTAAAGCATTTTTGGCCGAGTTATGATCAATTTATAATTCGAGACTCTTCTTCAAAGGTATACAAACTTCGCCTCCCAAAGCAAGATTACTAACTTGTTTATAATTTTAAAAAAACTCTTACTATTATTCTTAAGCTTTTTAAGTTAAAAACTCCATTAAACTCACCTTGCTGGGATCGGAGATCAGGTTGCCCGCGGCAATGGGCGCCAGCAGACCGGCCAAGTTGGCCAAGCAATTCGTGATGGCCATCAGGAAGCCGGCAAAGCGAGGCGTGAGGTCCAAGTGGTTGATCTTGAAGCCCGAGTAGATGCCTCCGTTCAGGCCCACACCAATGGTGAGAATGGCCAGAGTCAAGGCACGGTCGCAGCCCGTATAGGAAGCGGCGATCAAAGCGATGCCAGGACCATATTGGCCAATACTGTTGATTATCTTCCTGGTGGCTGTCAGGGAGAAGCGCTTCGAGCTGATCATCCAATCGGCAATCACCGAAATGAACATGGACAACAGCCACATGGCCAAGTAGGGCAGGGAGCTGAGCAGGCCGTTGGACTTGAGGGAGAAGCGGAGCACCTGCTTCATGTACGTGGGCAGCTCGGTCATCAGAGTCTCATAGCCATAGTTGTGACCCATGTGAGCGAAGAGAATAGCATAGAAGGGCAGCGACTTGATGATGGCCTTGAAGGGAATTGGAGGACTCTAAAAAGATAAATAATTAATTAAATTTCCATTTATAAATAAATAATAATCTTAACCCACCTTGACCACATCTGTTCCCCACAGCGCATCGTTGATGTACTTCTTCTCCCGCTCATCAATGGTGGGATGAACCGAGGGATCCTCATGTACGAACATCAGGAAGGCAATGGACCACACTGTTCCCACCACTCCGAACACATAGAAAATCGATGGCCAGCCACCATCGAAACCGTATTCCGCCAGCAGTCCAGACAGTGGCATAGAGATGATGGTTCCAAACTGAGCACCAGCATACACAGCGGCACCCATTCGTGATCTCTCGTTGGGTGGAATCCATTTGGCCAGCAGGGCATGAGTACAAGGCACAATGGGACCTTCACCCAATCCCTGGATGAAGCGCACTCCGCACAGACCCCAGACGCCACCTTCGCGGGCGGCCACAGGGACAAGGAAGGCAAACACCGAGTTGATCAGCATGCCGTAGCCCAGGAAGCGCAGTGATCCGTACTTCTTGGCCAAAATGCCAAAGGGAATCTGGGTGAGGACATAGCCGTAGAAGAAGGAAGACAGGATATAGCCTTGCAGGGCCGAATTCCAAGGGAACTCGCCATCCTGGGAATCGTCCTAAGAGAAGAAGATGGGTAAGTAATTAATATAAATAAGAATTGCTTATAAGCTTGAGAGAATTACTTCTTATCACTTGGGTGATTTGAAATCTCTTACGAAAAATGTATGTTTAAATATTCAACTTACAATGGGTATATCACGATCTCCGCACTCATCATCATACTCCTCCTCACCGGTCTTAATCGCCGTGTGATTAACCATGGCAACAATAGCCACAGACATATTCGTTCGCATCACATACGCATTGGCCATGCCCAGGAAAAGCATAAAGGTCACAAAATAGCGGGTGGCAAAGCATCCTACAAATTAAGAGAAAGACAATTAGTGAGATAAGAGATGAGACACAACAAAAATAAATAACCCCAGAGGAAGAGCAAATAATTTGCCTGCGTCAGTGACCAATAAGCGTGCATAAACTAATTTATCTAATTTAGACCAGAGCAAGCGGAAATCTTGTCAACAACTGTAAATGTTAGCTGAGAAATTATATGTTTCGGAAATGCAGAAATAACCCAAATATTTCTAGGCTATCGCAGAGATATAAAGATATAATCTTGTCTGGGGGTTTGCTTAGCTCAAGGTTCGTTGCTCGCACGAGATAAGCCTTTCGCCGGGCCCGCTACATTATGAGTCATGGTTTAGATTGGAAAACCTATAACAATCTTTACACAGAAACAAAATATCTCATAGATGAAATTATAAAAATCTACTTAAAATTTTAAGTGCTTATATCAAAGAACATTACTTAGTCATTTGATCTATTTTATGCCTGTAAAAATAAACTAGAGTCGTTTGTTTTCAAGTGCAATTGCACAATGGCCTGTCGTAATTTCTGCTCATTTATTTATTTGATTTCATCGCCATATACTCATATTCCGAGATCGCGTTTTATTATTGCTATGAAAGCAATTGTTTACATTGGAATGGGCCAGTGTTGATCTTTTTTTGTTGTTTTTAGTGCCGTTTTGTGTCATTTGGCAAACGTGAATGGTCGGCATTTCTCGGCAATTGCACGGGCGTGGAACACGTGAGGTAACCTGGATTTCCACCTGCAGGTACAGTTGTGTTCGCTTTCAGGGTCTACGATTAAGGTCTACTATATAGTATATAGTATATAGCTTAATTAGAGAGTGACGCATACTAAAGTTCAAGGCTGCCCGCAGACTTAATTGAGGCAATTCACTTTCCCAACTACTGAACTTTGCCCCATGGTGGTAAATTTAAAATTTATGCGATAAGCATTTTTGTGTTCAATAACCTGTCTCTGATTCCTCGAAATTTAGTTTACAAAACAAGCAAAAAATAATAATTCATCGAAAAAATATGACATAAACAATGGGTGAAAGACCGCAGAATTTTCAGACTCAAAATTAATTTTAAAAATATTATTCTGTGTTCGCCGTTTATTTGTGCTCACGCAGCGTTAAATCGCGCGATTTGCTCGTTTTATGCCGCCCCTTTGTTTTCCCCTCATTCCCAGTGTTTTCATTTTTCCTCTAATTTTCCACCCAATGTCTCGTGTTGCACAATCGACAAGTTTGCTTCCGTTGCCAGCAATCTGGCGATGAGGAGAAGCACGTGTATGTCGCGCGAAATCAGACCAAGGAAACAAGTCTTCTTTGGTGGCCTAACAAAAAAATTACGTATACGCAGTGGGGTCAAAAAATTCAAAAAGAAAACAGGGATAATGGTGAGGGAAATATATATGCAAATATAGTTTAGTTTTTTATATTTTTGAAAAATATTTCAATGAAAAATGCATTGTTTTACAATTGAAACTTTAGTAAAGAAAATAGCCCAAAGAAATTACGTATACGCAATGGTGTCAACAAATTTAAAAGCAAAGGAGCTAAGAGTGAGGGAAATATATTACAATCTTTTGAATATATTTCAATGAAAAATCCATAATATGTTTTATAATTGAAATTTAAGAAAAGAAAATAGACCAAAACTTCTCCTTGTATCCCTATTTTAATATGATAATCTTGAATATTAAGCAGTTTAGTCATAATAACTCAGCACGTTATCAGACATTGTATAAATTTTGTTTCGGTGGAATTCTAGCTTACTCTGCGGCTGTTCCTCAAGTGCTTCGTGGAGGTGCCTTTGATTCCATACCAAAACATGGCCATCACGATGGCGATGATTCAGACTGCTGCGTCGAAAGGGCATCTTGGTTGGGCTTCAATTCTTAGGGTCTGTTGCTTAATCTT